CAGTAGAGTCCTTTAGGCAGCCCTCCCTCCCTGCCCTAACCCAGATTAAGGATTTGGGGTCTCTGCTAATCTCTGATATCAGATGGGCTCTGATCAGTGGAAATTAGAGTGGGGCCTTGCCCTCCAGATAGATAATCCACCGTTTCGAACTGGACTGAGTCATGGACTAGTATGGGGGTTTAGCAATGGGTTGAACGAGACTCCTCTCCTCTGAAAGATAGCTCTCTACAGCTGAAACATAGCTCTCTGTAGCTGAAACATAGGTCTTGAAACATAGGTCTCTGTAGCTGAAACGTAGCTCTCTGTAGCTGAAACGTAGCTCTCTGTAGCTGAAACGTAGCTCTCTGTAGCTGAAACGTAGCTCTCTGTAGCTGAAACTTAGCGCTCTGTAGCTGAAACATAGCGCTCTGTAGCTGAAACTTTGCACTCTGTAGCTGAAACATAGCTCTCTGTAGCTGAAACGACAGGCTTTTTTTCTGAGACACGTCAGAACTTCAACTCACAGCCTGGGCCCATCTCTGTTTGCACTTTGTTTCTTTCCACTAATTAATTAAGTAAGTGTGTGTGTGTGTGTGTGTGTGTGTTGGCTGATGTAAAGCTCCTTAACCCGAGAGTGGCTTACCACAGTGCACAGTGTGGTGGCCTCAAGGCCCCTTGAAGCAGTGGAGCCGTCTAGCACAGGCATCACATCGCTGTAGCTATAATACTTAAAGGGCTAGATCAGTGGCTCTCAAACCTCTCCTCGGGGAACCCCCAGACGTTTCACAATTACATTTTAGTCATTTTAGCAGACGCTCTTATCCAGAGTGACTTACAGTTAGTGAGTGCATACATTTTTCATACTGGCCCCCCCGTGGGAATCCAACTGAGCTACAATTGACATGTAACGGCTGGGGGTTCCTGAGGAGAGGTTTGAGAACCACTAATCTAGATCACCTCTTACAAACAGGGCTGTGGAATGGCGTGTAGAATTAGTTCCAGTCCACCTTAAACCCACTATTCCACAAATAGACCCAACGTATGAAAATACAACCCTGCATGGGCATTGTACATACAGGGAGTTGCTCCACCAATGTTTTCCTCATCTCCCAGGATGCCAGACTCTGGCTAAGTACAAAAACATTGAAGGAGTGAAACTGAGATTGGAGAGAAACTGAGAGAGGGAAAATCTGAGTGACTCGGAGAGGGGGAGAGGGGGAGAGGGGGAGAGAGGGAGAGAGGGAGAGGGGGGAGAGAGTAGAGTGAGAGTGAGCAGAGTAGAGGCTGCCAGACCAGTGCTGCTTCAGCCTCTTACCAGATGGAACAGCAGAGTAAATACAGTGAGGGAAAAAAGTATTTGATCCCCTGCTGATTTTGTACATTTGCCCACTGACAAAGAAATGATCAGTCTATAATGTTAATGGTAGGTTTATTTGAACAGTGAGAGACAGAATAACAACAACAAAAATCCAGAAAAACGCATGTCAAAAATGTTATAAATTGATTTGCATTTGAATGAGGGAAATAAGTATTTGACCCCCTCTCAATCAGAAAGATTTTTTGGCTCCCAGGTGTCTTTTATACAGGTAACGAGCTGAGATTAGGAGCACACTCTTAAAGGGAGTGCTCCTAATCTCAGTTTGTTACCTGTATAAAAGACACCTGTCCACAGAAGCAATCAATCAGATTCCACCATGGCCAAGACCAAAGAGCTCTCCAAGAACGTCAGGGACAAGATTGTAGACCTACACAAGGCTGGAATGGGCTACAAGACCATCGCCAAGCAGCTTGGTGAGAAGGTGACAACAGTTGGTGTGATTTATTCGCAAATGGAAGAAACACAAAAGAACTGTCAATCTCCCTCGGCCTGGGGCTCCATGCAAGATCTCACCTTGTGGAGTTGCAATGATCTAGAGAATCAGCCCAGAACTACACGGGAGGATCTTGTTAATGATCTCAAGGCAGCTGGGACCATAGTCACCAAAAAAACAATTGATAACACACTACGCCATGAAGGACTGAAATCATGCAGCGCCCGCAAGGTCCCCCTGCTCAAGAAAGCACATATACATGCCCGTCTGAAGTTTTCCAATGAACATCTGAATGATTCAGAGGAGAACTGGGTGAAAGTGTTGTGGTCAGATGAGACCAAAATCGAGGTCTTTGGCATCAACTCAACTCGCCGTGTTTGGAGGAGGAGGAATGCTGCCTATGACCCCAAGAACACCATCCCCACCATCAAACGTGGAGGTGGAAACATTATGCTTTGGGGGTGTTTTTCTGCTAAGGGGATAGGACAACTTCACCGCATCAAAGGGACGATGGACGGGGCCATGTACCGTCAAATCTTGGGTGAGAACCTCCTTCCCTCAGCCAGGGCATTGAAAATGGGTCGTGGATGGGTATTCCAGCATGACAATGACCCAAAACACACAGCCAAGGCAACAAAGGAGTGGCTCAAGAAGAAGCACATTAAGGTCCTGGAGTGGCCTAGCCAGTCTCCAGACCTTGATCCCATAGAAAATCTGTGGAGGGAGCTGAAGGTTCGAGTTGCCAAACGTCAGGCTCGAAACCTTAATGACTTGGAGAAGATCTGCAAAGAGCAGTGGGACAAAATCCCTCCTGAGATGTGTGCATACCTGGTGGCCAACTACAAGAAATGTCTGACCTCTGTGATTGCCAACAAGGGTTTTGCCACCAAGTACTAAGTAATGTTTTGCAGAGGGGTCAAATACTTATTTCCCTCATTAAAATGCAAATCAATTTATAACATTTTTGACATGCGTTTTTCTGGATTTTTTTGTTATTCTGTCTCTCACTGTTCAAATAAACCTACCATTAAAATTATAGACTGATCATGTCTTTGTCAGTGGGCAAACGTACAAAATCACTTAAGTAGATGCTGCAGCCTCTTACCAGATGTAACAGCAGAGTAAATAGCAGAGTAAGGAGATGCTGCAGCCTCTTACCAGATGTAACAGCAGAGTAAATAGCAGAGTAAGGAGATGCTGCAGCCTCTTACCAGATGGAACAGCAGAGTAAGGAGATGCTGCAGCCTCTTACCAGATGTAACAGCAGAGTAAATAGCAGAGTAAGGAGATGCTGCAGCCTCTTACCAGATGGAACAGCAGAGTAAATAGCAGAGTAAGGAGATGCTGCAGCCTCTTACCAGATGGAACAGCAGAGTAAATAGCAGAGTAAGGAGATGCTGCAGCCTCTTACCAGATGGAACAGCAGAGTAAGGAGATGCTGCAGCCTCTTACCAGATGTAACAGCAGAGTAAATAGCAGAGTAAGGAGATGCTGCAGCCTCTTACCAGATGGAACAGCAGAGTAAATAGCAGAGTAAGGAGATGCTGCAGCCTCTTACCAGATGGAACAGCAGAGTAAATAGCAGAGTAAGGAGATGCTGCAGCCTCTTACCAGATGTAACAGCAGAGTAAGGAGATGCTGCAGCCTCTTACCAGATGTAACAGCAGAGTAAGGAGATGCTACAGCCTCTTACCAGATGGAACAGCAGAGTAAATAGCAGAGTAAGGAGATGCTGCAGCCTCTTACCAGATGTAACAGCAGAGTAAGGAGATGCTGCAGCCTCTTACCAGATGTAACAGCAGAGTAAGGAGATGCTACAGCCTCTTACCAGATGTAACAGCAGAGTAAATAGCAGAGTAAGGAGATGCTACATGACATAGGCCACGCTCCAGCTCAACACACTCTTCAGCCAAGTGCTCTCGCTCTTACAATGTGCACTTCTCAAGTGCCCTAGTGTTCCCAAATCCGGAAGCCCCATTGTCTGGGGTACTTTGGCTCTTGACCCGCAAATGCCCGGAGTTGTGTGGTTTAGGGGAAACGGTTCAGTGGCTTCAGATTGCAGAGTGCAGTTGGGAGCATGGTATCAAAACCATTGGCATTACATTGTATTCTATATGTGCACTTGTTTTAAAAAAGTGCCCTACCATCCTAAGTGTTCGTTAAAGACATGCTCCGGAACTTTGGCGACTACTAAGTATTTTTTTAATCTCCTGCTTTGGGCTGGATGTGTCAATGTGTGTAGTACATGCAGAATTACTGTCTCACCTCCATTAGCCATGAAATCCCTAGTGACTGTCTTTCTGGAAGCTTTGCTGCGCCATTTTCCCTTACATTTTCCCCCACGTGGGCCCAGCCCCCCTAGCAATTCCAGTTCAACCAATGTGACTCACCCATTTGTGCCATGAACCCTTGGTAGAGGGCTCACCAGCTGACAGACGAGACGACCAGCGGTAACCTCATACCCCTCTCTGTTACCGACCGTACATCTGCACAGCGGACACAGAGACGGAGAGGGCGAGAGGATACTCCCATTCATTCAAATGGATGTATGCACGCGCTCTGCTCTACATATTTAATAGAGAAGGTGTGTGTGTGTGTGTGTGTGTGTGTGTGTGTGTGTGTGTACACACACGCTGCTCCAGAGCCAGTACTGTTCTTCCTTCAGACAAGCATGCGTCAAAAGTTTGTCTATTTGCACAATGTGCAAACTTATCAAAAATGACATTCGGTAGCTACTCTCTCTCTCTCACGGAGTGTACAAAAGCATTAGGAACACCTGCTCTTTCCATGCCATAGACGGACCAGGTGAATCCAGATGAAAGACATGATCCCTTATTGATGTCACCTGTTAAATCCACTTCAGTGTAGATGAAGGGGAGGAGACATGTTAGAGAAGGATTTTTTTAAATCCTGAGTCATGGATTGTGTATGTGTGCCGTTCAGAGGGTGAATTGGCAAGAATAAAGATTTCAGATTTAAAACAACCCTGTAAAACAGGTATCACTGCACCTATCTGGTGTATGTGACAATATATATATATATTTAGTATTCTCCTTCCCCCCTCCCAGTCAGTCAGTCAGTGTGAGTCATAGGCTGTCGTTGGGGTGTAAACATCTAAGTGATGTAAAGTGAGTTTACCTGCGTGAGTTTAAACAAACAAGGCTGTGCCACGCCACCTGTCTCTGGCTGACGCATCAGACACGGACCAATATGGCGGTGTGTGTTTTCCATGACTCTACGGTCTACACTGTTTGGGTTTACACGGGCCTGCTAAGGGGACTGTTCTGTTTGGGTTTACACAGGCCTGCTAAGGGGACTGTTCTGTTTGGGTTTACACAGGCCTGCTAAGGGGACTGTTCTGTTTGGGTTTACACAGTCCTGCTAAGGGGACTGTTCTGTTTGGGTTTACACGGGCCTGCTAAGGGGACTGTTCTGTTTGGGTTTACACAGGCCTGCTAAGGGGACTGTTCTGTTTGGGTTTACACAGGCCTGCTAAGGGGACTGTTCTGTTTGGGTTTACACAGGCCTGCTAAGGGGACTGTTCTGTTTGGGTTTACACGGGCCTGCTAAGGGGACTGTTCTGTTTGGGTTTACACAGGCCTGCTAAGGGGACTGTTCTGTTTGGGTTTACACAGGCCTGCTAAGGGGACTGTTCTGTTTTCACTCATGTCCTTGTAATCGCTCTCTGAAGTGTTACTCTCTCTGTCATACTGGAGGGAGGGAGGGAGGGAGGGAGGGAGCTGTCATACTGGAATAAGGGAGGGAGCTGTCATACTGGTATAGCGCACTTGGCAAGTAATCGAAAGGTCGCTAGTTCGAATCCCCAGTCAGTTGATGTGCAAGGCACTTCATCCTAATGGCTCCAGGGTCTCCGTTGATAATGGTAGACTCTGGCCGTGACCCCACTCTCCGAGGGTGTCTCAGGGGGAGTTAGGATATGCAGGCAGGCAGAGCCACCCTACACAAAGACATGCACACACCACACACACACACACACACTCGGGGCAGATAGGTTCTCCCACTCTTTCCCTCACACACACACCACACACACGCTCTCATCATATTCTAGGAAGCCGTGCTGACAGGCGTAAGAAAGAGAATCTTCACTGATATTCTCTCTTCCCCCGAAGCGCTAGGCCAGAAATGAAAAGGTGCATTCAGCTGTGCTGTTGTCACGCTCTGCGCTCAGGCCTCTTAGTGCTGCAGTGATGGATGGACGTTGGGCAGACAGACACGCTGCTTAGGAAAACAGACATGCTGCTTATCAGTTCAGCCCACATTAGGCCGTTACCACAGGGCCTTAGCCTAGATCCACCGGTGTGCTGAACATTAAAGCATGTCTGACCAAAGCTTTTTGCCTTTGGTGATGTAGAAAAGAGAGAAGCTTGCCTTGGTGTCCAGTTTGGTCACATGTCTTTAGTACGAAGAGGAGAGAGACCACTTATGACAACTGACACACAAGGGGCACCACAGGGGCACCACAGGGGCATCACAGGGGCACCACAGGGGCACCACAGAGCAGTAAAAGAAAGCGACACACAGAGATTGGAAGAAAAAAATTCTGCATAGTATGTGAAATGTTGAAAATGTAGTGTTTTTTTTATTTTTTATGCCAGGATTTCGTACTCAATTTGGCTTTTCATCTAGTATGATTTGCTGCACGCTATTGAGCAAAGGAATCTTGTTTCGAGACCCACGTGTTTGACGACAACTGATAAACAGCTGATAATAAGAGAAAGGGAGGGTCTGTTGCAAAATGAACTAATGGAACAAGGAAGTTGCACGTTTGATGACACATTTCTTAGCAGTGATGGGGTTAACAGAAGTAACACGTAATGTAACCAGAACTGGCGGCTTGAGAGAGAGATTTTGAATGAAAAGCTAGGAAATCTGTACATTTTACATTTTAGTCATTTAGCAGACAGAATAACTACAAAAAAGAGAGACAGAATAACTACAAAAGAATCCAGAAAAACGCATGTCAAAAATGTTATAAATTGATTTGCATTTTAATGAGGGAAATAAGTATTTGACCCCCTCTCAATCAGAAAGATTTCTGGCTCCCAGGTGTCTTTTTATACAGGTAACGAGCTGAGATTAGGAGCACACTCTTAAAGGGAGTGCTCCTAATCTCAGCTTGTTACCGGTATAAAAGACACCTGTCCCCAGAAGCAATCAATCAATTAGATTCCAAACTCTCCACCATGACCAAGACCAAAGAGCTCTCCAAGGATGTCAGGGACAAGATTGTAGACCTACACAAGGCTGGAATGGGCTACAAGACCATCGCCAAGCAGCTTGGTGAGAAGGTGACAACAGTTGGTGCGATTATTCGCAAATGGAAGAAACACAAAAGCACTCTCAATCTCCCTCGGCCTGGGGCTCCATGCAAAATCTCACCTCGTGGAGTTGCAATGATCATGAGAACGGTGAGGAATCAGCCCAGAACTACACGGGAGGATCTTGTCAAGGCAGCTGGGACCATAGTCACCAAGACAACAATTGGTAACACACTACGCCGTGAAGGACTGAAATCCTGCAGCGCCCGCAAGGTCCCCCTGCTCAAGAAAGCACATATACAGGCCCATCTGAAGTTTGCCAATGAACATCTGAATGATTCAGAGGAGAACTGGGTGAAAGTGTTGTGGTCAGATGAGACCAAAATCGAGCTCTTTGGCATCAACTCAACTCGCCGTGTTTGGAGGAGGAGGAGGAGGAATGCTGCCTATGACCCCAAGAACACCATCCCCACCGTCAAACATGGAGGTGGAAACATTATGCTTTGGGGGTGTTTTTCTGGTAAGGGGACAGGACAACTTCACCGCATCAAAGGGACAATGGACGGGGCCATGTACCGTCAAATCTTGGGTGAGAACCTCCTTCCCTCAGCCAGGGCATTGAAAATGGGTCGCGGATGAGTATTCCAGCATGACAATGACCCAAAACACACGGCCAAGGCAACAAAGGAGTGGCTCAAGAAGAAGCACATTAAGGTCTTGGAGTGGCCTAGCCAGTCTCCAGACCATAATCCCATAGAAAATCTGTGGAGGGAGCTGAAGGTTCGAGATGCCAAACATCAGCCTCGAAACCTTAATGACTTGGAGAAGATCTGCAAAGAGGAGTGGGACAAAATCCCTCCTGAGATGTGTGCAAACCTGGTGGCCAACTACAAGAACCGTCTGACCTCTGTGATTGCCAACAAGGTTTTGCCACCAAGTACTAAATCATGTTTTGCAGAGGGGTCAAATACTTATTTCCCTCATTAAAATGCAAATCAATTTATAACATTTTTGACATGCGTTTTTCTGAATTTTTTTGTTGTTATTCTGTCTTTCACTGTTCAAATAAACCTACCATTAAAATTATAGACTGATCATGTCTTTGTCAGTGGAGGAATGTACAAAATCAGCAGGGGATCAAATACTTTTTTCCCCTCACTGTATGCCCATATGATAGTGCAGCACATGTAGAGTATCACAGATGAAAGGAGAAACTAGTGATCCAACCTCAGTTACTAAGCAACCTATCTTTGGCAGAACACCCGCGGCTCCCTCCGACAGGCAAACCTGAGTTACTAAGCAACCTATCTTTGGCAGAACACCCGCGGCTCCCTCCGACAGGCAAACCTGAGTTACTAAGCAACCTATCTTTGGCAGAACACCCGCGGCTCCCTCCGACAGGCAAACCTGAGTTACTAAGCAACCTATCTTTGGCAGAACACCCGCGGCTCCCTCCGACAGGCAAACCTGAGTTACTAAGCAACCTATCTTTGGCAGAACACCCGCGGCTCCCTCCGACAGGCAAACCTGAGTTACTAAGCAACCTATCTTTGGCAGAACACCCGGCTCCCTCCGACAGGCAAACCTGAGTTACTAAGCAACCTATCTTTGGCAGAACACCCGCGGCTCCCTCCGACAGGCAAACCTGAGTTACTAAGCAACCTATCTTTGGCAGAACACCCGTGGCTCCCTCCGACAGGCAAACCTGAGTTACTAAGCAACCTATCTTTGGCAGAACACCCGTGGCTCCCTCCGACAGGCAAAAGGTTTCGCTAATTATTTTCCATGAAAATAACGCAAGGTAATAAAACGCATTACTTTCCAAAGTAATATTGAAAAGTTTTGCGTTACTTTTGTTAAATGTACCGAGTAATATGTAATAAATTAGTTTCGAAGTAACTAACCCCAACACTTATTCTCAGTATGGGCGAGCCTAGTATGTTAATATTTGTTGCTAACTGCATACATTTCTACTAAACAGTAGGTTCTAAATAGTGTGATTAGTACACAGCTGCATACATTTCTACTAAACAGTAGGTTGTAAATAGTGTGTAGTACGATTAGTACACAGTATGCAGTTTTGGTTAGTAGTAGGCAAGACAGATTTCAGACACGGACGATGATGAGGAGGGACAAAGGGAGAGCCAGATTGAGAGCGTGGGTAGATGGAAGGAAAGGAGAGAGAGAGAGTATACAGGGCAGGCTGTGCTAAAGTAGCCAGACAGACAGGGCAGGCTGTGCTAAAGTAGCCAGACAGGGCAGGCTGTGCTAAAGTAGCCAGACAGGGCAGGCTGTGCTAAAGTAGCCAGACAGGGCAGGCTGTGCTAAAGTAGCCAGACAGGGCAGGCTGTGCTAAAGTAGCCAGACAGGGCAGGCTGTGCTAAAGTAGCCAGACAGGGCAGGCTGTGCTAAAGTAGCCAGACAGGGCAGGCTGTGCTAAAGTAGCCAGACAGGGCAGGCTGTGCTAAAGTAGCCAGACAGGGCAGGCTGTGCTAAAGTAGCCAGACAGACAGGGCAGGCTGTGCTAAAGTAGCCAGACAGGGCAGGCTGTGCTAAAGTAGCCAGACAGGCAGGGCCTCTCTCTCTCTCTCTGGCGGCTGGTTATATCTCAGACTCTGCTCTGGAATTCAGGAATCCAACATTCTCCCCACATAATAACCCCTTTCCCCACTTCCTCCCTCATTGGCTAAAGGACGGGCACTTACGCATGGTCAGGCCAATCAAAAACTCCCATGGTCTCTAGGGTGGAATCGGTGCCAGTCTCCAAAGTAGATCAATACATATGAGAGGGAATGAAAAAAAGCTTCCTCAAGCGGTGGAGATGGTGACTGAAAAGTGTGTGTGTGTTTGCGTGAGGCTCCCTGAGTTTACAGGCTCCCTGTAAACTCAGGGAGCCTGTCCCGCAGGGCCAAACATCAGGATGGTACAGTCTGTAGGCCCAACCATGCATGGAATCTGTTAAGGGCTGGGGGGGGGGGGGGGGTCCTCTCTTGTCCCCTCTCTCCTCTCTTGTCCCTCTCTCTCCTCTCTTGTCCCCTCTCTCCTCTCTCTCCTCTCTTTTCCCTCTCTCCTCTCGTGTCCTCTCTCTCCTCTCTTGTCTCCTCTTGTCCTTCTGTCCTCTCTCTCACTCTCTTGTCCTCTCCTCTCTCTTGTCCTCTCTCTCCTCTCTTGTCTCTCTCTCCTCTCTTGTCCTCTCTCTCCTCTCTTGTCCTCTCTCTCCTCTCTTGTCCTCTCTCTCCTCTCTTGTCCTCTCTCTCCTCTCTTGCCCTCTCTCCTCTCTCTTGTCTTCTCTCTCCTCTCTTGTCCTCTCTCTCCTCTCTTGTCCTCTCTCTCCTCTCTTGTCCCCTCTCTCCTCTCTTGTCCCCTCTCCTCTCTCTTGTCCTCTTGTCCTCTCTCTCCTATCTTGTTCTCTCCTCTATTGTCCTCTCCTCTATTGTCCTCTCTTGTCCTCTCTCTCCTCTATTGTCCCCTCTCCTCTCTTGTCCTCTTGGTCCTCTCTACATCATGTCACCTCTCTCCATCTTGTACCGATCTCTCCTCCTTGTCCTTCTCTCTCTCTTGTACCACTCTCTCTCTCTTGTCCCCTCTCTCCTCTCTTGTCCCCTCTTGTCCTCTCTTGTCCTCTCTTGTCCTCTCTCCTCTCTTGTCCTCTCCTCTCTTGTCCTTTCTCTCCTCTCCTCCTCTCCTGGTAGTTGTAGTCAGTGTGTGCTGCTCCTACTGTGGTTGTGTCCATCTGGTCCTCTGAGATGGAGAGCTCAACGTCTCTGAAAAGACAATAGATAAAGGTGTGAAATCTTAGTGACAGAAAGTACTCTGAAACCCCAGTTGTATTTTTCAGTCAGATTGGAGATTGTTACGATACCACTTTATTTTGTTTACTCTTTCAATCTTTAAATTGTGTTTTCTATTAAATTCACACAAACATATGGCTTAAATGTTTTATTTGCTGCTTAAAAGGTGTCTTTCAGGAAGTGTGTCGTTCCTCTACCTGTTGACTGTCAGGAAGTGTGTCGTTCCTCTACCTGTTGACTGTCAGGAAGTGTGTCGTTCCCCTACCTGTTGACTGTCAGGAAGTGTGTTGTTCCCCTACCTGTTGACTGTCAGGAAGTGTGTCGTTCCCCTACCTGTTGACTGTCAGGAAGTGTGTCGTTCCCCTACCTGTTGACTGTCAGGAAGTGTGTCGTTCCCCTACCTGTTGACTGTCAGGAAGTGTGTCGTTCCCCTACCTGTTGACTGTCAGGAAGTGTGTCGTTCCCCTACCTGTTGACTGTCAGGAAGTGTGTCGTTCCCCTACCTGTTGACTGTCAGGAAGTGTGTCGTTTCCCTACCTGTTGACTGTCAGGAAGTGTGTAGTTTCCCTACCTGTTGACTGTCAGGAAGTGTGTCGTTTCCCTACCTGTTTACCAACATGGAAACTTATTATGAATGTGTGCAGCCTATGGGCCCTGGTCAAAAGTAGTGCACTATATAGGGAATAGGGTGCCAATTCAGATGCAGCTTGTTACTCTGTTAAGCGGTGAGAAGATTTTCCATAACAACAGTTCAAACTTTATGAAAGTCTTAAAAGGTGTAAAGCACTTTGATTTGATTTAACCTGCCGTTCCAACGTTGTGTTTCTGTGATGTTGTGCAGGAGTTTGCTGCGCTGACCAAGGAGGTGAATGTGTGTCGGGAGCATTTGATGGAGAGAGAGGAGGAGATCGCTGAGCTCAAGGCTGAGAGGAACAACACACGGGTCAGTGACATGTGACACGCACACTCACAAACACACAAACCCCTCAGCTGCACATCTCTGGGAAGTCCCCTGCCAGTCCCCTGCCAGTCCCCTGCCAGTCCCCTGCCAGTCCCCAGCATAGTCCATTAACAGTGTCAAACCCCCACTGGTTTGACCTGTGGGAGTTTGTGTGTGTGAGTTTTTGAGAGGATCACCTCCTGCTCTCTGTTCTGAGGATTAGGTCACTCCCCTAATGAGTGGTTGTATGAGGGGTAGAGGGGGGAAGAGAGGATATGAGGGGTAGAGGGAGGGAAGAGGGGATATGAGGGGTAGAGGGAGAGAGGGGATATGAGGGGGTAGAGAGGAGGGGATATGAGGGGTAGAGGGAGGAAGAGGGGATATGAGGGGTAGAGGGAGAGAGAGGGATCATGAGGGGTAGAGGGAGGGTGGGATATTAGGTGTCGAGGGAAGCGGGTCTTGGGCTGCGGATGCTTGCTGGGTGCGGGCGGGCCGCGGGGCTCTGCGGGCTCGCCGCTGGGCTCTGCGGGTCGGCGGGCCCGGGGCTCTGCGGGTCTCGGTCCGCCGCGTTGCTCTGCGGGTCGCGGGCGCCCGCGGGCTCTGCGGGTCGCGGGCGGGTCCCGGGGCTCTGCGGGTTCGCGGTGCTCTTGCGGGCGCGCGGGGCTCTCGGGTTCGCGGGCGGCGCCCGGGGCTCCTGCCGGCGCCCGCGGGCTCTGCGGGGTCGCGGGCGGGCCGCGGGCTCTGCGGGGTCGCGGTCGGCCGCGGGGCTCTGCGGGTCGCGGGCGCGGCGGGGCTCTGCGGGTCGCGGGCGCGCCGCGGGGCTCTGCGGGCGCGCCTCGGGGCTCTCGGGGTCGCGGGCGCTGCCGCGGGGCTCTGCGGTGTCGCGGGCGCTGCCGCGGGCTCTGCGGGTCGCGGGCGCGCGGTGCTCTGCGGGCGCGCCCGGCGCTCTGCGGGGTCGCGGCCCGCCGCGGGGCTCTGCGGGGTCGCGCCGCGCCGCGGGGCTCTGCGGGGTCGCGGCCGCGCCGCGTGGGCTCTGCGGGGTCGCGGGCGCGCCGCGGGGCTCTGCGCGGGCTCTTCGGCTCCGGGCGCGCCGCGGGGCTCTGCGGGGTCGCGGGCGGGGCTCTGCGGGCGCGCCGCGGGGCTCTGCGGGTCCGGGCGGGCCGCGGGGCTCTGCGGGGCTCTTCGGCTCGCGGGCGCGCCGCGGGGCTCTGCGGGGTCGCGGGCGCGCCGCGGGGCTCTGCGGGGTCGCGGGCGCGCCGCGGGCTCTGCGGGGTCGCGGGCGCGCCGGGGCTCTGCGGGCGCGCCGCGGCGTCTGCGGGCGCGCCGCGGGGCTCTGCGGGGTCGTGGGGGGGCCGCGGGGCTCTGCGGGCGCGCCGCGGGCTCTGCGGGGTCGCGGCGCGCCGCGGGGCTCTGCGGGGTCGCGGGGCTCTGCGGGCGCGCCGCCGTGGCTCTGCGGGGTCCGGGCGCGCCGCGTGCTCTGCTGGGCGCGCCGCGGCTCTGGGGTCGCGGGCGCGGCGGGGCTCTCGGGTGTCGCGGTTCGCCGCGGGGCTCTGCGGGTCGCGCCGCGGGCTCTGCGGGGTCTCGGGCGCGCCTGCGGGGCTCTGCGGGTCGCGGGCGCGCCGCGGGGCTCTGCGGGGTCGCCGGGCGCGTCGGGCTTGCGCGGCGCGCCGGGGTCCGGCGCCGGGCTTGCGGGGTCGCTGCCGCGCCGTGGCTCTGCGGGTCGCGGCCGCCGGGCTCTGCGGGGTCGCGGCGCGCCGCGGGCTCTGCGGGGCTCTTCGCTCTGCGGCCGCCCGGGCTCTGCGGGGTGCGCTGCGGGCTCTCGCGCCGCGGTGCTCTGCGGGGTCGCGGGCGCGGCGCGGGGCTCTGCGGGCTCTTCGGCTCGCGGGCCGCCGCGGGCTCTGCCGGGGTCCGGGCGCGCCGCGGGTCTCTGCGGGTCGCGGCGCGCGCGGGGCTCTGCGGGGTCGCGGGCGGCCCGCGGGGCTCTGCGGGGCGCTCGGCGCTCTGCGGGCGCGCCGCGGGGCTCTGCGGGGTCGGGGCGGGGCCGCGGGGCTCTGCGGGCGGCTCGCGGGTCTCGGCGCGCGGGTGCTCTGGCCGGGGTCGCGGGCTCGCGGGCCGCGGGCTCTGGGCGCGCCGCGCGCTCTGCGGGCGCGCCGCGGGGCTCTGCGGGTGTCGGGGTGCGCGCCGCGGGCTCTGCGGGTTCGCGGGCGCCGCGGGCTCTCGGGCCGGGGCTCTGCGGCGCGCCCGCGGGCTCTGCGGGGTGGGGCCGCGGGGCTCTGCGTGCGCGCCGCGGGGCTCTGCGGGGTCGCGGCGCGCCGCGGGCTCTGCGGGGTCGCGGGGCTCTGCGGCGCGCCGCGGGGTTTCCTCGGGGTCGCGCGGCGCGCTCTGCGGGGCTCTGCGGGCAGCGAGGTGAGAGAGGGAGAGAAGAGGGGATATGAGGGGTGGGGGGGGAAGCGGGATTGAGGGGGATTGAGGGGAGAGAGGGGCTATGGGGGTAGAGGGGGGGGAGGGATATGAGGGGTAGGGGGGAAGGGGGATATGAGGGAGAGGGGGGGAGGGGGATATGAGGGGTAGAGGAGGGAAGGGACTATGGGGTGCGGAGGGGGGGGATATGAGGGGTAGAGGGAGGGAAGAGGGGATATGAGGGGTAGAGGGAGAGAAGGGGGGATATGAGGGGGGATTAAGGGATAAGTCTGGGCTTTGTCAGCCTGCAGCTCTGATTGGACCCCCTGAGCTGCTCAACAACATGGGATTGAGCGCAACACACACACACACACAAACAATCATGTGTGTAAGCATGTCTGTACTCTTTCACAATCCCGTGTGTGTGTGTGGCGTGAATATACTGTGTGTAAATTGTGTATTCTGTGATGACCATAGCTTCTCCTGGAACGTGTGTGTACCATGACGTGTAAAAATCTGGTGTGTATTCTGTGATGACCATAGCTTCTCCTGGAACGTGTGTGTACCGTGACGTGTAAAAATCTGGTGTGTATTCTGTGATGACCATATCTGGTGTGTATTCTGTGATGACCATATCTGGTGTGTATTCTGTGATGAACATAGCTTCTCCTGGAACATCTGGAGTGTCTGGTGTCTCGTCATGAACGCAGTCTGAGGATGACTGTGGTGAAGAGGCAGGCCCAGTCTCCTGCTGGGGTCTCCAGTGAGGTAGAGGTCCTCAAGGCCCTCAAGTCCCTGTTTGAGCACCACAAAGCCCTGGACGAGAAGGTTGGTGTGTGTGGGATTGGGTGAGAAGATCATCTGCCTGCTAATCTCTTCTTTGTAGAGGTGTGCTGGCAGTGTGTAAAATGATGGAGATTAATACTAGTGTGTGTTTTCCAGGTCAGGGAGAGACTGCGTGTGGCTTTAGAAAGATGCAGCCAGCTGGAAGAACAGCTCACATCACAACACAAAGAGGTAAGCCGCACCTGACCACCCTGTATTAACCCCCCCCCCCCCCCCCCCCCCCCCCCATCAACTGGCTGTCAGTAACAGGTGCAGGTGGAGGAGTCTAACCCAGTCGGGAGGAGTCTAACCCAGTCGGGAGGGAGGAGTCTAACCCAGTCGGGAGGAGTCTAACCCAGCCGGGAGGAGTCTAACCCAGTCGGGAGGAGTCTAACCCAGTCGGGAGGAGTCTAACCCAGTCGGGAGGGAGGAGTCTAACCCGGGAGGGAGGAGTCTAACCCAGCCGGGAGGAGTCTAACCCAGTCGGGAGGAGTCTAACCCAGTCGGGAGGAGTCTAACCCAGCCGGGAGGAGTCTAACCCAGTCGGGAGGGAGGAGTCTAACCCAGTCGGGAGGAGTCTAACCCAGTCGGGAGGAGTCTAACCCAGTCGGGAGGAGTCTAACCCAGTCGGGAGGAGTCTAACCCAGTCAGGAGGGAGGAGTCTAACCCAGCCGGGAGGAGTCTAACCCAGTCGGGAGGAGTCTAACCCAGTCGGGAGGAGTCTAACCCAGTCGGGAGGGAGGAGTCTAACCCAGTCGGGAGGAGTCTAACCCAGTCGGGAGGAGTCTAACCCAGTCGGGAGGAGTCTAACCCAGTCGGGAGGGAGGAGTCTAACCCAGTCGGGAGGGAGGAGTCTAACCCAGTCGGGAGGGAGGAGTCTAACCCAGTCGGGAGGAGTCTAACCCAGTCGGGAGGAGTCTAACCCAGTCGGGAGGAGTCTAACCCAGTCGGGAGGGAGGAGTCTAACCCAGTCGGGAGGGAGGAGTCTAACCCAGCCGGGAGGAGTCTAACCCAGCCGGGAGGGAGGAGTCTAACCCAGTCGGGAGGAGTCTAACCCAGTCGGGAGGAGTCTAACCCAGTCGGGAGGGAGGAGTCTAACCCAGTCAGCGACAGGTGGAGGTGGATGCGCTCAAATGGCGACCCAGTCTCACCTGTCAATCAGTGAACCGTATCCATGACAACAGTCCTCACTAGTTTTCCTGGGGGAATAAAAACCAATCCATCTTGAATGACTATGGATCTTATTTAAAAGGAGATTTAATCATTTCCATGTTTAACACTTGGAAAAATAAGTATAGGCTGCGTCTTGTGATTACACAGTATCTTTAATGTTCCACTGTCTTGTGATGACACAGTATCTTTAATGTTCCACTGTCTTGTGATTACACAGTATCTTTAATGTTCCACTGTCTTGTATACAGTATCTTTAATGTTCCACTGTCTTGTACACAGTATCTTTAATGTTCCACTGTCTTGTACACAGTATCTTTAATGTTCCACTGTCTTGTACACAGTATATTTAATGTTCCACTGTCTTGTGATGACACAGTATCTTTAATGTTCCACTGTCTTGTACACAGTATATTTAATGTTCCACTGTCTTGTGATTACACACTATCTTTAATGTTCCACTGTCTTGTACACAGTATCTTTAATGTTCCACTGTCTTGTACACAGTATCTTTAATGTTCCACTGTCTTGTACACAGTATCTTTAATGTTCCACTGTCTTGTGATTACACACTATCTTTAATGTTCCACTGTCTTGTACACAGTATCTTTAATGTTCCACTCTCTTGTGATTACACAGTATCTTTAATGTTCCACTGTCTTGTGATGACACAGTATCTTTAATGTTCCACTGTCTTGTACACAGTATCTTTAATGTTCCACTGTACACATATTAAGGTGTTGTAGAGACATGAGTCACACACATTGATAGAAGACCTATTAACTGCTGCACTGTCTAAGAGCTGGATACTGGGACTCCATGAGTGGACATACACACACACGCAGAATGCACAGAGCTCTGAGGAGATGAGTCGTGAATGGGATTAAAATGGACAAAAGGGCTAGAGGATCATGGGAAAGTGGCCTAGATTGCTCTCCTCTCCTCCACATCTCTCCTTTCATTCCTTTTATCTCAGAGAGGAGGAGGAGGATAGCAGCACAGACCACGACTTCTCCTACTCTTCTCCCTGCTCTGAGGCCCTCACCCGTGTGTGTGTGTGTGTGTGTGTGTGTGTGTGTGTGTCAGCCTGCGTGAATGTGTGAGAGTAGGGCTGTCTCGGTAACCGCGGTCATAAACCCAGGCGGGTAACTGTCAGAAAGTGATCTATTTTCAGTTAGATTTTATTTTGTGATGAGCAGTAGTCTCTTCACAGAGATATAATGGTATAAATTAATGCTGTTTTGCTTCCTTGAAACAAGTGCCACCCCCAGTTAAATGACCGTTTGTAATTTGCATGACAATGTCTGGTCCGTCTGTGGGATTATAAGATTATATCAATTAATAACTGTCACAGCCGTATGTGTGTGTACGTACTAATATATAATAGTGATAATAATATATGCTATTTAGCAGACACTTTTATCCAAAGGGACTTAATCATGCGTGCGTATGTTTTACGTACTGGTGGTCCCGGGAATCAAACCCACTATGCTGGAGTTGCAAGCGCAATGCTCTACCAACTGAGCGTGTTTGTCTGGCAGTGTAGGGATATATGCGTTTGTGTGGTTGGTCCCTGACCGGGGCGGGCAGCACTAGAATAGTTGTGATCAGGCTCACAGCCCAAGCTGGACTCTTCCCTGGTGCTTCAGTCTCATGCATTCACTCACTGTTTTTAAAATGGTGGCCAGACAACACAAACAAGTGGAGGCTGCTGAAGGGAGGACGGCTCATAGTAATGGCTGAAACGGAGCCAATGGAACGGCATCAAACACCTGGGAACCTTTTTTTTTATTTGATGTATTTGTACCATTCCACTGATTCCGCTCCAGCCATTATCACGAGCACGTCCTCCCCAATTAAGGTCCCACCAACCTCCTGTGATACACACCTGCCGGTTCAGCTGTACGTTTCAGTAGGAAGCTTCTCTTCCCTCTGTAAAGCAGCAGTAGTGTGTTTGTTCAGGTTTAATGTCAGAGAGGGTCATCTGTATTTGGGGAGTTGACAAAGCGGGATCAATGAATGAGTTGGCTTGCTAACTTTGAGAAGTGCTCCGATCTGACTGTGGAGTCCCTTATGAGGATTTTTAACATTAACCCTTAATTTCTTATATTCATTAATGATGGGCAGCTTTTAGTGTCTGGGTTCTGTTGTGCTTTATTGGGTATTTATTGGTCTTCTATGTATTGGCTGGTGCAATCAAATGTCCCCTTTGGGTGATTAATGAAGTATATATATCTGCTAAATGACTCAAATGTAAAAGTACTATCTTGTCTTAGATGGCCTATCTGAGGGAGCAGAACAGCCAGAAGAGGTCGCTGGGAGATGGAATGGAAGGGCTCAACCACAACTCTGAAAACACCCCAAGCACCAACGGCAAGGTATGGACCCCTCTTATCCAGAGCGACTTAGTCAGTGCATTTAAATAAGGTAGATAAAAACAACCACAAGCGTCATAGGTCAAGTCCTACAGCCTTTAGTAACTAGTGTCCTCTCCCAACTAGTGGTCGTAGGACGATTCTCTGAGCCAGGAGGACGACCAGGGGAAGGGTCAGGGGTTATAGGTCACGTCCTAGTTGTTTCTGGCTATCTTTAAGGAACCTAAACGATGTCTTGTCCCTAGCGGTCGTCAGATGGCTCTCTGAGCCAGGAGGAGGACCAGGGGAAGGGTCAGGGGTTATAGGTCACGTCCTAGTTGTTTCTGGCTATCTTTAAGGAACCTAAACGATGTCTTGTCCCTAGCGGTCGTCAGATGGCTCTCTGAGCCAGGAGGAGGACCAGGGGAAGGTGGGAGAGCTGCAGGAGATGGTGGAGAGACAGACGTCAGACCTGGGGCAGATGATGGCGCGCATGGCAGCCATGACGGGACGCATCAGCGAGCTGGAGGAGGACCTGGACACGGCCCGCAAGGACCTCGTTAAGAGTGAAGACATGAACACACGCCTGCAGAGAGACATACGAGAGGTACATACTGGATGTTGGTAACATGTTACTGACATACGAGAGGTACGTACTGGATGTTGGTAACATGTTACTAACACGCCTGCAGAGAGACATACGAGAGGTACATACTGGATGTTGGTAACATGTTACTGACATACGAGAGGTACATACTGGATGTTGGTAACATGTTACTAACACGCCTGCAGAGAGACATACGAGAGGTACATACTGGATGTTGGTAACATGTTACTGACACGCCTGCAGAGAGACATACGAGAGGTACATACTGGATGTTGTTAACATGTTACTGACACGCCTGCAGAGAGACATACGAGAGGTACATACTGGATGTTGGTAACATGTTACTGACACGCCTGCAGAGAGACATACGAGAGGTACATACTGGATGTTGTTAACATGTTACTGACACGCCTGCAGAGAGACATACGAGAGGTACATACTGGATGTTGTTAACATGTTACTGACACGCCTGCAGAGCGCCGTGTGTTTTTCTGTAATGATGTCTGTGTGTGTGCTAAACGTATCCGTGTCTGTCTCTCTGTCCCCTGCGTCCCGTCTGTAGTCTACGGCCCAGAAGGAGGACATAGAGGAGCGGATCGTCACCCTGGAGAAGAGGTACTTGGCGGCGCAGCGGGAAGCCACCTCCGTACACGACCTCAACGACAAGCTGGAGAACGAGGTGGCCAACAAGGAGTCCCTGTTCCGACAGGTCAGTACACACACACACACACACACACACCAATCGAACCAACAGCAAGATCGGAGCATTCATACCATACAGACACTATACACCAGCACGTGTGTGTACAGTATCTCCCGTCTATAGCCAACCAGTAAGGAAGCCTCAGTTGAGTTTTCCACAAGGGTTTTTCCACTTTGGTTGGGTGTGTGTGTGTTTTTGAGGATTTGTGTATTTGGGGGGGGTTAGTGTGATTGTCTGCTCTTTCCGACAGCAGGAAGAGCCTGCGGGGTCCTGGCAGTGCGAGGACCCCTTCTAGTGCATTCACAGACTGCCCAGCACAGCAGGCACTGAATCAGACGCCTCAGACACATTCGCTTCTTTCTCTCTTTGTTTTCCGCTGGTCTGCCTGGTCTTCTTCTCTTGTATGTCCTCTTCCCCTCCTTCTGTTTACTCTCGTCTTCTCTCTCTGCTCTCTCTTGTCTTGTCTGCTCTCTTGTCTTGTCTGCTCTCTTGTCTTGTCTGCTCTCTTCTCTTGTCTGCTCTCTTGTCTTGTCTGCTCTCTTGTCTTGTCTGCTCTCTTGTCTTGTCTGCTCTCTTGTCTTGTCTGCTCTCTTGTCTTGTCTGCTCTCTTGTCTTGTCTGCTCTCTTGTCTTGTCTGCTCTCTTCTCTTGTCTGCTCTCTTGTCTTGTCTGCTCTCTTCTCTTGTCTGCTCTCTTCTCTTGTCTGCTCTCTTCTCTTGTCTGCTCTCTTCTCTTGTCTGCTCTCTTCTCTTGTCTGCTCTCTTCTCTTGTCTGCTCTCTTCTCTTGTCTGCTCTCTTCTCTTGTCTGCTCTCTTCTCTTGTCTGCTCTCTTCTCTTGTCTGCTCTCTTCTCTTGTCTGCTCTCTTCTCTTGTCTACTCTCTCTGCTCTCTCTGCTCTCGTCTGCCTGTGTAAACACAGCCTGTCTGATTCTGACCATTTTAGTCAAGTCATAGGAAGAACACATTCAGATGAATGACGATAATCATCATCCTTAATGCGTGGTTTGACACCCCTGGATGACAATATTGACAATTGTGTGTTTGTTTGACAGACGGAGGAGAGGAACAGTTGGAATGTATTGATTTGATATGATTGGTGGTGTGTTTTGATCTGCAGACGGAGGAGAGGAACAGTTGGAATGTATTGGTTTGATATGATTGATGGTGTGTTTTGATCTGCAGACGGAGGAGAGGAACAGTTGGAATGTATTGGTTTGATATGATTGGTGGTGTGTTTTGATCTGCAGACGGAGGAGAGGAACAGTTGGAATGTATTGATTTAATATGATTGGTTGTGTGTTTTGATCTGCAGACGGAGGAGAGGAACAGTTGGAATGTATTGGTTTGATATGATTGGTGGTGTGTTTTGATCTGCAGACGGAGGAGAGGAACAGTTGGAATGTATTGATTTGATATGATTGGTGGTGTGTTTTGATCTGCAGACGAAGGAGAGGAACAGTTGGAATGTATTGATTTGATATGATTGGTTGTGTGTTTTGATCTGCAGACGGAGGAGAGGAACAGTTGGAATGTATTGATTTAATATGATTGATTGTGTGTTTTGATCTGCAGACGGAGGAGAGGAACAGTTGGAATGTATTGATTTAATATGATTGATTGTGTGTTTTGATCTGCAGACGGAGGAGAGGAACAGACAGCTGCAGGAGCGTTTAGAGCTGGCTGAGCAGAAGCTGCAGCAGACCATCAGGAAGGCGGAGACTCTGCCCGAGGTGGAGGCGGAGCTAGCACAGAGGGTGGCGGCCCTCACCAAAGTCAGTCCCGCCCCCACGCCGTCAATCATCATGTCTCCTGAGAGGACACCCCTCTCCATTTTTCATCCTTTCCCCTGTGTGTGTGTGTGTGTGTGTTTGGAGGCAGGCACAATGATGCATTTGTTTGTGTGTGACGTCACAGGATGTGTAAAGGAATGCTCTACTCTCTCTAACCCAATCCCACCAAGCCCCTACCTCCTATGCGCTTGTGGACACACACACACACACACACACACACACACACACAGAGGTAGTTCCCTTTACATTGGGCATTACATTTTTTGGAGGGTATGATCTTAGTTCCTCTACCTTTCTCACTCATCATTATTCAGGATTCATTCGTGATTATCCGTAACCATGGCAGCATCCACATTTTAATATAGCAGTGTTTAGAAACATCTTCTGTTCTTATTTACAATAAAAGTGACTCTAAAATGACACAATACATAGTTCACAATTCAGTTTCTATTGGGCAAAAAACGTAATCTGAGAAACAAACCAAAACAAACTTAAAATGCATCCAACAAGTTTTGTAGAGTCACAAGCTCCATGTATTCATTGCGTGCTAGGAATATGGTACCAAATACTAAACGTCTTACTATTTTAATACACTAGAAGTGAATTTGTCAAAATACTTATGGAAAGACAAAACATATTCAAATGGGCGACTATATACAGTGCAAGTATTCAGACTCCTTGACTTTTTCCAAATGTTGTTACGTTACAGCCTAACATGCTGACCACACCGCCCACGTCGTGTGCGCGAGGGTTGCAAAATAAATGTACACATACATGTTATTCAATCATTGCACCCACACCGCTCGTGCGCGTCAACGAACATCTGCGTAGCCAGGCGCTAAAATAGAACTTGGTTCTATTTGTGACGCTTGACGGCACTGCAAGTCCCGCCTCTCCCATCTCCTTATTGGTTTTTAGGAGCATTTACCCACGTGGGTGATTGAAAGATGAACTGAGGTCCACACTCCAGTCCAGTTGGTATGGTAATGCATCTTTTAAAGTTGGTTGCCAACCGCCATATAAAGTCCAAAGAAGAAGAAGCCTGAAAATAAAATAACAACCCAATGTTTATTTCCCAGGGCAAATTAGCTAGCAACAGCAAGCTAGATAGCTAAATTGCCATAAATGTTTAATGCTTTTCGACCTGTCCCCAAATTAATATAGTTGGTTCAGAGTTCGTTTTGATATTTCAACCTGCGTGTCCTGATGGCGTCTGGTGTGGTCTGCATGTTATTCTGAAATGGATCAAACATTTGTAAAATCCTCATCAATCTACACACGTTACCCAATAATGACAAAGCGAAAACAGGTTTTTAGAAATGTTTGTTAATTTATTATAAATAAACTGAAATATTACATTTTATGTAAGTAATTCAGACCATTTACTCAGTACTTTGTTGAAGCATCTTTGGCAGCTATTACAGCCTCGAGTCTTCTTGGGTATGACGCTACAAGTTTGGCATTGAGCTCAGGTGCATCCTGTTTCCATTGATCATCCTTGAGATATTTCTACAACTTGATTGGGGTCCACCTGTGGTAAATTCAGTTGATTGGACATGATTTGGAAAGTCACACACCTGTCTATATAAAGTCCCACAGTTGATAGTGCATGTCAGAGCAAAACCCAAGCCATGAGGTCAAAGGAATTGTCCGTAGAGCTCCGAGACAGGATTGTGTCGAGGCACAGATCTGGGAAATGGTACCAAAAAAGTTCTGCCGCATTGAAGGTCCCCAAGAACAGTGGCCTCCATCATTCTTAAATGGAAGAAGTTTGGAACCACCAAGACTCTTCCTAGAGCTGGCCGCCCAGCCAAACTGAGCAATCGGGGGAGAAGGGCCTTGGTCAGGGAGGTGACCAAGAACCAGATGGTCACTCTGAAAGAGCTCCAGAGTTCCTCTGTGGAGATGGGAGAACCTTCCAGAAGGACAACTATCTCTGCAGCACTCCACCAATCAGGCCTTTATGGTACAGTGGCCAGACGGAAGCCACTCCTCAGTAAAAGGCACATGACAGCCCGCTTGGAGTTTGCCAAAAGGCACCTAAAGGACTCTGACCATGAGAAACAAGATTGTCTGGTCTGATGAAACCAACTCTTTGGCCTGAATGCCCAGCTTCGCATCTGGAGGAAACCTGGCACCATCCCTACGGTGAAACATAGTGGTGGCAGCATCATGCTGTGGGGATGTTTTTCAGCGGCAGGTACTGGCAGACTAGTCAGGATCGAGGGAAAGATGAACAGAGCAAAGTACAGAGAGATCCTTGATGAAAACCTGCTCCAGAGCACTAAGGACCTCAGACTGGGGTGGAGGTTCACCTTCCAACAGGACAATGACCCTAAGCACACAGCCAAGACAATGCAGGAGTGGCTTCGGGACAAGTCTCTGAATGTCCTTGAGTGGCCCAGCCAGAGCCCGGACTTGAACCCGATCTAACATCTCTGGAGAGACCTCAAAATAGCTGTGCAGCGACGCTCCCCATCCGACCTGACAGAACTTGAGAGGATCTGCAGAGAAGAATGGGAGAAACTCCCCAAATACAGGTGTGCCATGTTTGTAGCGTCCTACCCAATAAGACTTGAGGCTGTAATCACTGCCAAAGGTGCTTCAACAAAGTGCTGAGTAAAGGGTCTGAATACTTATGTAAATGTGATATTTCAGTTTTTTCTTCTTTTTTTAAAAATGTCTAAATACCTGTTTTTGCTTTGTCATTATGAGGTATTGTGTGTAGATTGATGAGGGATTTATTTATTTATTATTCCATTTGAGAATAAGGCTGTAACGTAACAAAATGTGGGAAAAGTCAAGGAGTCTGAATACTTTCCGAATGCACTGTAAATAGTGCTTTCATTTCTAAACACTAAAACAGATATGTATGAAAATACCCAGAAATAAAAGGTGACCTTCTGTGCTGTCGTCTCATATGAAACATTTGATCTGAAATCCAAAATGCTGGAGTATAGAGCCAAATGTACACATTTATAGCTTCACTGTCTGAATAAATACTTAGGGGAGTGTACATCAACTCTCTTTTCACAAGTTATCTTCATCTTAGCAGCTACTCTCTTCCTTACTCTTCATTTTAACTCTTTAAGAAGCAGAGATTTCAGTGTAGAACCTGTCACTGCCACCACCACCCATCTACCTCCATCTAACCACCCAACTACCTCCATCTAACCATTTAACCACCCAACTACCTCCATCTAACCATTTAACCACCCAACTACCTCCACCTAACCATTTAACCACCCAACTACCTCCACCTAACCATTTAACCACCCAACTACCTCCACCTAACCATTTAACCACCCAACTACCTCCACCTAACCATTTAACCACCCAACTACCTCCACCTAACCATTTAACCACCCAACTACCTCCACCTAACCATTTAACCACCCAACTACCTCCACCTAACCATTTAACCACCCAACTACCTCCACCTAACCATTTAACCACCCAACTACCTCCATCTAACCATTTAACCACCCAACTACCTCCATCTAACCATTTAACCACCCAACTACCTCCATCTAACCATTTAACCACCCAACTACCTCCATCTAACCATTTAGCCACCCTTCTACCTCCACCTAACCATTTAGCCACCCTTCTACCTCCACCTAACCATTTAACCACCCTTCTACCTCCACCTAACCATTTAACCACCCTTCTACCTCCATCTAACCATTTAACCACCCTTCTACCTCCACCTAACCATTTAACCACCCTTCTACCTCCACCTAACCATTTAACCACCCGTCTACCTTCACCTAACCATTTAACCACCCTTCTACCTCCACCTAACCATTTAACCACCCTTCTACCTCCACCTAACCATTTAACCACCCAACTACCTCCACCTAACCATTTAACCACCCAACTACCTCATCTAACCATTTAACCACCCAACTACCTCCATCTAACCACCCAGCTACCTCCACCTAAGTGGTCCTCTGTAGCTCAGCTGGTAGAGCACAGCGCTTGTAACGCCAGGGTAGTGGGTTCGATCCCCGGGACCACCCATACACAAAAATGTATGGAGGCATGACTGTAAGTCGCTTTGGATAAAAGCGTCTGCTAAATGGCTTTATTATTATTATTATTATTATTATTATTAACCACCCAACTACCTCATCTAACCACCCAACTACCTCATCTAACCACCCAACTACCTCATCTAACCACCCAACTGCCTCCACCTAACCACCCAGCTACCTCCATCTAACCACCCAACTGCCTCCACCACATCTTTTGTCTAGTAATCTCTGCTGGTCCTGTCTGTCAGTCCACAGTCTTTAGTCCGGTCTGTCAGTCCACGGCCATTAGTCCTTTCTGTCAGTCCACGGCCTTTAGTCCGGTCTGTCAGTCCACGGCCTTTAGTCCGGTCTGTCAGTCCACGGCCTTTAGTCCGGTCTGTCAGTCCACGGCCTTTAGTCCGGTCTGTCAGTCCACGGCCTTTAGCTGCACTAAAACTCTATTCCCTCTTTCTCTTGTACTAAAGTACCTCCTGCTTTCTCTCTCTCTCTCTCTCTTCCTCTCCTCTCCTCTCCTCTCCTCTCCTCTCCTCTCCTCTCCTCTCCTCTCCTCTCCTCTCCTCTCCTCTCCTCTCCTCTCCTCTCCTCTCCTCTCCTCTCCCTCACTGTCGTCTTTTCCTCTCTGTTCCTTGTTTGGTCTGTCCTCAACCTTTACCTCCCCCCTAGCCTGACGCCTCGGGCTCTAAGGATGTCAAGGCACAGAGGAAGGTAGACTGGCTACACTCACACCCCAGCCCCCTCTCTTACCCCCACCCAGTGGTCTAACCCAGCCTGCTTAGCTTGGCACTGCTAATCTATGTTTTAAGTATATGTCTGTGCACAACCCCCCTCATCCTCTCCCAACCTCTACAAATTGTTTATGATCTAACACAAACAGGAAGTGCTACTTCATTTACCCCCCCCCCCCCCCCCCCCCCCCCCAACAGGGTTTTAGTATGGCGGCCCGGCCACTAAGGAGCCTGCTTTCTCCGGCAGTTGAGTTATCCAAACTCGCGCAGACATTTTGATTCACTTTTTATTTTAATGTTCATATTTTCTTGGTTACATTGGATCACCCCGCACAGAATACTTCCCTTTAGCCAGTAACTCTCTCCCCTCTCCACATTTGTCTAAGCACACTGCAGAGCCATTAAAATGAGAAAAGCTTCAGTTTCTTCACCCCTCAGCTCCCCTTGTGTTTCTAGTCTGTGCTTGCTGTGTGGAATGTCGTCATGGGGCTTGTCTGTACTGCTCTGTGTCCCTCTACCCTCTCCCCCGTCTCTGCTGGTTCATGGCTGCTACTGGCTGGCTGTAGATGGTTGTTGTTGGTGTCTGGTTGTTGGTGTTTGTGGGTGGATGGGCCCCTTAACCCCCCATAACCAATAACATTAACCTATATGGTACTGAGCCTCTGATTGGGCCTTTTCAGTTACATCCTTCTCCAGGATCATTTGTATTGATCTGAAAGGAGCTGCTACACCTAGACAGTCCTCTGACACCTAGCCAACCCTCTTCAACGTAGCCAGTCCTCTGACACCTAGCCAACCCTCTTCAACGTAGCCAGTCCTCTGACACCTAGCCAACCCTCTTCAACTTAGCCAGTCCTCTGACACCTAGCCAGTCCTCTGACACCTAGCCAACCCTCTTCAACTTAGCCAGCCCTCTTCAACTTAGCCAGCCCTCTTCAACTTAGCCAGCCCTCTTCAACTTAGCCAGTCCTCTGACACCTAGCCAACCCTCTTCAACTTAGCCAGTCCTCTGACACCTAGCCAGTCCTCTGACACTTAGCCAGCCCTCTTCAACTTAGCCAACCCTCTTCAACTTAGCCAACCCTCTTCAACTTAGCCAGTCCTCTGACACCTAGCCAGTCCTCTGACACCTAGCCAACCCTCTTCAACTTAGCCAGTCCTCTGACACCTAGCCAGTCCTCTGACACCTAGCCAACCCTCTTCAACTTAGCCAGTCCTCTGACACCTAGCCAACCCTCTTCAACTTAGCCAGTCCTCTGACACCTAGCCAACCCTCTTCAACTTAGCCAGCCCTCTTCAACTTAGCCAGCCCTCTTCAACTTAGCCAGCCCTCTTCAACTTAGCCAGCCCTCTTCAACTTAGCCAGCCCTCTTCAACTTAGCCAGCCCTCTTCAACTTAGCCAGCCCTCTTCAACTTAGCCAGCCCTCTGACACTTAGCCAACCCTCTTCAACTTAGCCAGTCCTCTGACCCCTAGCCAGTCCTCTTCAACTTTGCCAGTCCTCTGACACCTAGCCAACCCTCTCAGATCTATACAAATTCCTAAAGGGTAGAGGTTAGGGAATGGGTCTTTTTTGGAAGGATGAGGTGTTTGACAAAGTCTGTCTGTCTGTCCCACAGGCGGAGGAGCGTCATGGCAACGTGGAGGAGAGGCTGAGGCAGATGGAGACTCAGCTGGAGGAGAAGAACCAGGAACTCCTCAGGGTGAGGTCACCTGGCTGGCTGTCGTCTGTGTTGTTTACAGATGTGGTCCTTGGACTCTCTGATTTTAGCATTGTACTTTAAACGTAGACAATATATTCATCCTCATTCTCATTCAAATAACTAATCGAAGATTGTACTTCGAACAATCGAAAGATCCATTAATTAACAGAAAATTTAAAGAAAATGTGTGTCGTGAAATGTTTCCCGTCATGCTCTGTCTGGGAGGTTTTGTGATTAGTGGGTTTGTTTTGTGGTGTGAAGGCACGCCAGCGGGAGAAGATGAACGAGGATCACAACAGGCGTCTGTCGGAGACGGTGGACAAGCTGCTGTCAGAGTCCAACGAGAGGTTACAGCTTCACCTCAAGGAGAGGATGTCTGCCCTGGAGGACAAGGTGGGTGGGACGTGCTAAATGGCAGTTCATTCAATCCGTACCTCTATAGCTGAACCCACTGGGACAATGCTGTGGTCATTATCTATAGCTGAACCAAGCTGGGACAATGCTGTGGTCATTATCTATAGCTGAACCAAGCTGGGACAATGCTGTGGTCATTATCTATAGCTGAACCAAGCTGGGACAATGCTGTGGTCATTATCTATAGCTGAACCAAACTGGGACAATGCTGTGGTCATTATCTATAGCTGAACCCACTAGGACAATGCTGTGGTCATTATCTATAGCTGAACCAAACTGGGACAATGCTGTGGTCATTATCTATAGCTGAACCCACTGGGACAATGCTGTGGTCATTATCTATAGCTGAACCAAACTGGGACAATGCTGTGGTCATTATCTATAGCTGAACCCACTGGGACAATGCTGTGGTCATTATCTATAGCTGAACCAAGCTGGGACAATGCTGTGGTCATTATCTATAGCTGAACCAAGCTGGGACAATGCTGTGGTCATTATCTATAGCTGAACCAAGCTGGGACAATGCTGTGGTCATTATCTATAGCTGAACCCACTGGGACAATGCTGTGGTCATTATCTATAGCTGAACCCACTGGGACAATGCTGTGGTCATTATCTATAGCTGAACCAAACTGGGACAATGCTGTGGTCATTATCTATAGCTGAACCAAGCTGGGACAATGCTGTGGTCATTATCTATAGCTGAACCAAGCTGGGACAATGCTGTGGTCATTATCTATAGCTGAACCCACTGGGACAATGCTGTGGTCATTATCTATAGCTGAACCCACTGGGACAATGCTGTGGTCATTATCTATAGCTGAACCAAGCTGGGACAATGTTGTGGTCATTATCTATAGCTGAACCCACTGGGACAATGCTGTGGTCATTATCTATAGCTGAACCCACTGGGACAATGCTGTGGTCATTATCTATAGCTGAACCAAGCTGGGACAATGTTGTGGTCATTATCTATAGCTGAACCCACTGGGACAATGCTGTGGTCATTATCTATAGCTGAACCCACTGGGACAATGCTGTGGTCATTATCTATAGCTGAACCCACTGGGACAATGCTGTGGTCATTATCTATAGCTGAACCCACTGGGACAATGCTGTGGTCATTATCTATAGCTGAACCAAGCTGGGACAATGCTGTGGTCATTATCTATAGCTGAACCAAACTGGGACAATGCTGTGGTCATTATCTATAGCTGAACCCACTGGGACAATGCTGTGGTCATTATCTATAGCTGAACCAAGCTGGGACAATGCTGTGGTCATTATCTATAGCTGAACCCACTGGGACAATGCTGTGGTCATTATCTATAGCTGAACCCACTGGGACAATGCTGTGGTCATTATCTATAGCTGAACCAAGCTGGGACAATGTTGTGTTGATTCTCCATGTGCTGTCTCTCCTCTTCATCAGAATGCCCTCATAAGAGATCTGGATCACACTAAGAAGCTGATTGAGGCGGCACACCATGAGAAGGTAAGGACCTCTGGGTACTCTGGGTACTGACTGCTCTGAACGACTGGAGACCTGGTGTGTCATCGCTGGGTTTGGATTCTCATCCCCCATGACATCCCTCATGTCTGTCTTTCTCTGCTCCCCTCTCCCTCCCTACCACCTCCCTCCATACCCCCTCCTTCCCTCCCTCCATACCCCCTCCTTCCCTCCCTCCATACCCCCTCCTTACCTCCCTCCATACCCCCTCCTTCCCTCCCTCCATACCCCCTCCTTACCTCCCTCCATACCCCCTCCTTCCCTCCCTCCATACCCCCTCCTTACCTCCCTCCATACCCCTCCTTCCCTCCCTCCATACCCCCTCCTTCCCTCCCTCCCTACCACCCCTCATTCCCTCCCTCCCTCTATACCCCCTCCCCTACCCCCCTCATTCCCTCATTCCCTCTATACCCCCCTCCCCCTACCCCCTCCCTCCCTACCCCCTCATTCCCTCTCTCCCTCTATAACCCCCTCCCCCTACCCCCTCATTCCCTCTATACCCCTCCCCCTACCCCCCTCCCTCCCTACCCCCCTCATTCCCTCTATAACCCCCCTCCCCCTACCCCCCTCCCTCCCTACCCCCCTCCTCCCCCTCTCCCTCCTTACCCCCTCCTTTCCTCTCCTCCCTCCCCCTCCTCTCTCCCTCCCTCCCTCCCTCCCTCCCTCCCTACCCCCTCATTCCTTCCCTCCCTCCCTCCCTCCTTACCCCCTCATTCCCTCTCTCCCTCCCTCTCTCAGGAGCAGCTACTGATCCAGATTGAGACGATGCGGGCAGAGAACGATCAGGGCAGGAGCAACTCACTGCTGCACCATGGGTAAGATCATCTGCTTTCTCCTCATTGGCTGTCCTAGACTCTGGCCCACACATGATTGGCCAGTGCTCTGGCCTCTCTGTCCACCTCTTTCTTTGTGATTGATCTATTGTGTGTGATGTGTGTGTGATGTGTGTGTGTGTGTGTGTGCGCTCTCAGGCGTTCTCACCTAGGCAGCACCCCAGACTTCAGGTACCCGGTGTCGGCCTCCTCCATGATGGACAGCCACTCGGACCACTACGGCAGCGCGCTGGTGCTGAGGCGGCCCCAGAAGGGGCGGTTTGCCGCGCTACGGGACGAACCCTCCAAGGTGAGCCCCCACAGCCCTGTGTGTCCTAGTGAGGGACCGTTTAAATGTAATATTGGCAGCTGTCTGTCTGTCTGGTGGACCTAGCTACTGATGTTCCATTCAATTCACCCCAGCAGTCCAGCTATCTGTTTTCTGTGTTGAAGTCATCTCCGGCCCACAAACTGTTGTCCCTCTCCTTCCCTCCCTCCCTCTCTCCCTCTCTCATTTGATCTCACTGTATCTGATGGTGTTCTCTCTCTCCCTTTCTTTGCTTCCTCTCTGGACATCAGAGACATGTAAGTCAGAATGAAGACAACCGTGATGATGATGATTTGATGTTGGTCTTCAGTCTTTGCAGTGCATGGTTAAAAGGTATTCAGGACCGTCTGATACCATCAGTCTAACTCTCTCTCTCTCTCGCTCTCCTCTCTCTCTCTCTCCTCTCTCGCTCCTCTCTCTCTCTCTCTCTCTCTCTCTCTCCTCCTCTCTCCTCTCTCTCTCTCTCTCTCTCTCTCGCTCTCTCTCTCTCTCTCTCGCTCTCTCTCGCTCTCTCTCTCTCTCGCTCTCTCTCTCTCTCGCTCTCTCTCTCTCGCTTTCTCTCTCTCTCTGTCTCTGTGTCTCTGTCTCTGTGTCTCTGTCTCTCTCTCCCATCTCAGGTCCAGACTCTGAATGAACAGGAGTGGGAGCGTGTGCAGCAGGCTAATGTTCTGGCCAACGTTGCTCAGGCGTTTGAGTCTGACCTGGACACGTCCGACCTGGAGGACGATGAGCGCGAGACCATCTTCAGCTCAGTGGACCTGCTGTCCCCCGCCGGCCAGGCCGACGCCCAGACCCTGGCTCTCATGCTGCAGGAGCAGCTGGACGCCATCAACAACGAGATCAGGTGCACACACACACGCCCCTACTGCTACTCATTGGATCAGCATGTTATATATCAACAACGAGATCAGGTGCACACACACACGCCCCTACTGCTACTCATTGGATCAGCATGTTATATATCAACAACGAGATCAGGTGCACACACACACGCCCCTACTGCTACTCATTCTATCAGCATGTTATATGTATTTCAACATCATTCTGGATCTGTCATTCTAATAATCTTTTGAGTAACATTTTCCCATTTTCATTTTAGGGAAAACAAGGAGATACTAACACTAACATCTCTTTCTCTCTCCCCTCGCTTTCTCTCACTCCTCCCCCCCCTCTTTCTCTCTCCCCTCGCTTTCTCTCACTCCTCCCCCCTCTCCTCGCTCGCGCTCTCTCCCTTCTCTCTCTCTCTCTCTCTCTCTCCTCTACCCCCCCCCAGGATGATTCAGGAGGAGAAGGAGAACACAGCCATGCTGGCAGAGGAGATGGAGAGCCGGGTGGGCAGTGGGGACAGCCTGGGGGGCAGTCGCTTCCGCTCCATGAGCTCCATCCCCCCCTCCTCCATGGGGGGCTCGTCGCCCCCCGGCTCAGGCTCCTCCACCCCGCGACGCATCCCCAACCGCAGCCCCAACCGAGAGGTGGACCGCATGGGAGTCATGACCCTGGTGAGAGAGAGACCTACGCCCTATGCACTTGTGGAGATCTTAGAGGAGTTGATTAGTATACGTAATGTGGTGAAACTTTCAGCTAGCCTATCAGAGAGCAAGTGGAGCTATCATCATATTACCTACACTTGTTAAATCCTCTCTGATCTCCACAAGTGCATAGGACGTAGGGTTTAGGGGGTGATTTGGGATTGGGTCCCACACTCCATCCATCATCGCTCTCCTTTTACTCATTCAGCGTCAGTCCATCCATGTTGATCAACCAGCTCCTCTCTGAAACAACCACCCCTTACCTCCTCCTCTAGAATTACATCCTCCTCCTCCTCCTCTAGAATTACATCATTCTCCTCCTCCTCTAGAATTACATCCTACTCCTCCTCTAGAATTACATCCTCCTCCTCCTCTAGAATTACATCCTCCTCCTCCTCCTCTAGAATTACATCCTCCTCCTCCTCCTCTAGAATTACATCCTCCTCCTCCTCCTCTAGAATTACATCCTCCTCCTCCTCCTCTAGAATGACATCCTCCTCCTCTAGAATTACATCATTCTCCTCCTCCTCTAGAATTACATCCTCCTCCTCCTCCTCTAGAATTACATCCTCCTCCTCCTCCTCTAGAATGACATCCTCCTCCTCCTCCTCTAGAATGACATCATCCTCCTCCTCCTCTAGAATGACATCCTCCTCCTCTAGAATTACATCCTCCTCCTCCTCTCGTCGATCTCTCTCTCTCTCTCTCTCTCCCTCCTCTCTTCTCTCTCTCCATTCCTTTAGCTTCACTAACTGTCATCTCTCATTATTGGTTCAGTTATACCATCCCTTGTTCATACTAGTCTACAGGAGCTTCGTTTCATGTGTTGTCAGATCTTTGTCCATTAGAATCTGTTTTGATCTGTTCAGTGTTTGTGACACGTTCATGGAACTAGCTACTAGTTTGGCATTTTGTATTTGGTAGGTGACGTGTGTGTGTAACCTGTGCCTGTGTTCCCCCAGCACTACCTCTATGACCCCTATGTGATCCAGAGGTCTCTGTCCCAGCAGCAGACAGTAGCTTACCTGCCCTACCCTGCTGCTAGCGTTAGCTTACCTGTCCCCCCTGCCTGTAGCTATGCTCCATGCTACTTCCAGGTACCACCCCCTACCCTGCTCCTCTCTTCACCAGGCAGCGTTCAGTCAGCCTGGGGTCGCACTCACACACACACCGTCCCACGGTCCATCTGTGGGGCCACACAGCAATCACTAGCTGGTCACTAGCCTCTCATGGCAGGGTTTTGAAGTTGTCCTAGAATGCCGGGCCCCCATTGGACTTCAGAAAGAGATCAGGCAGATGGCTTAACCAATGAAGATGCAGAGCGAATGCAAAAACTCTGTTTGGCTGTTAGCTCATCACACACCAGACAGAATGGCTGTAGATTTTGATATCAGTTAAAGTAGAGCCTTGTTGTGCTCAATTAAGACCTAATTTCAGACACGACTGAGTTAAATGACTTATTTTCCCCTCAGCTTGATTAAGTTCTGTGTTTGACTTCTGTCCCCCCCTCCACTTCCTGGTACTCTTATCGCTTCCTGTCGCTTGGGGGTGGTTCAGAGCAGGGCTTGGAGAACCTTCCATGGAAATATGTGCTGCTATTCCATTTGTTTATTTACTCTAGAGATGCCAGGCTAGAGAAAAGGCATGCAGGGGCACATCAACCCTAGCTGCCTCACTCCCCCGTCACATGACACGAGTCCCATATCCCTGGCTGCCTCACTCCCCTGTCACATGACACTAGTCCCATATCCCTGGCTGCCTCACTCCCCTGTCACATGACATGAGTCACATATTATTACCACAGTCCTAGGTTGTGTTCAGTAGGGCACACCGTGGCAAAACATTTAAAAACGGAATTGGACACGTTGATGCTGCTTTCCTCCATGTTGTGCCCCCTGAACATGACCCAGGCCTGTTCCTTTAGGTAAACAGTCTGGTGTTGTGTGTTTCATTTCCTGCTTCAACTTAAACCAATTAATTAGCGTATGTTATTTTTAAGAACACCCATGTGAGAGAGCACGGTCGGTGTGTGTGTGTGAGAGCGACCCCTTAAAGCAGTAGCTTAGCCATTAGCTACTACCACAGACTGACCCCCCTCCTCCCGGAGTGTGTTTTGCAGTGGTTTCACTCTGCTCCCTCCTCTGATCTTTGACCTCGGTGTGGTTCCCCCAGACAGTGTACACTACCGGTCAAAGAACACCTACTCATTCAAGGGTTTTTCTTTATTTTTACTATTTTCTACATTGTAGAATAATAGTGAAGACATCAAAACTATGAAATAACACATATGGAATCATGTAGTAACCATAAAAGTGTTAAACAAATCAAAAATATATTTTATATTTGAGGTTCTTCAAAGTAGCCACCCTTTGCCTTGATGACAGCTTTGCACGCTCTTGGCATTCTCTCAACCAGCTTCATGAGGTAGTCACCTGTGTGCTGGGCCTTGGGTTCTGCTGGTAGTGTGTGTGTGTGCTGGGCCTTGGGTTCTGCTGGTAGTGTGTGTGTGTGCTGGGCCTTGGGTTCTGCTGGTAGTGTGTGTGTGTGCTGGGCCTTGGGTTCTGCTGGTAGTGTGTGTGTGCTGGGCCTTGGGTTCTGCTGGTAGTGTGTGTGTGTGCTGGGCCTTGGGTTCTGCTGGTAGTGTGTGTGTGTGCTGGGCCTTGGGTTCTGCTGGTAGTGTGTGTGACTAACGTGCTCTCTTCTCTCCTCCTCCGCTGCTTCAGCCTAGTGACCTGCGCAAGCACCGCAGGAAGGTAATCTAGAAACCATGCTAGCTACTACTCTCTCTCTCTCTCTGGCCTCTACCCTGTCTGTCTGTCTGTCTGTCTGTCTGTCTGTCTGTCTGTCTGTCTGTCTGTCTGCCTGTCTGCCTGTCTGCCTGTCTGCCTGTCTGTCTGTCTGTCTGTCTGTCTCCTTCCCAACCATACGCTGTTTTCCAGACTCTACACCCCCCATAAAATGTGACTTCACAACCCCCCCCCACCACGTGGTTCAACCCTACACCTCCCAAACCCTGAGTGTCTTGAACATCCTGTCACAAAGCGAGGGGAGACTTATTGTTTTCTTTCCAGGTTCAAGAACCAGTCTGTTTCTGCTGCTCTACCATACTCCCCATCGACTCCATACAGAGAAGGAAAATACTATTTTCCATTAGATTAGAAGACAGTGACTGACTGAGTGTCCCCATGTTGTGTCTAGTCTGCCCAGGACGACAAGGCCACCATCCAGTGTGAGACGTCTCCCCCCAACTCCCCGCGCTCCATGCGCCTACACAAGGGGGCCATCCACACTGCCAGCCATGAGGACATCAGAGACATCCGCAGGTAGGAAGGACCTTTCTGCCTCACGTCAATATATCATTCTGTTCGTTTTCTAGAAGAGCAATATATTGATGCTGGTCTCTTCGTTTCTCTCTTCTTCTGTCGTTCTCATATCTGTCCATCCATCTATCTCTTCATCCCTCTGTTTCTGATCTCTCCATCAATTTATCTATCCACATATCTCTCTCCATCGCTTTCTCTCTCTGTATGTCTCTTTATGCATTCATGCTCATCTCTCTCTCCGCCTCTCTCTCACCCCCCTCCTTCCACTCTCGCCTCCCTCCTCCCTCTCTCCCCCTTCTCTCTCTCCCCCTTCTCTCTCTCCCCCACCTCTCTCTCCCCCACCTATCTCCCCCCCTTCTCCCCCACCTATCTCTCCCCCTTCTCCCCCACCTATCTCTCCCCCTTCTCCCCCACCTATCTCTCCCCCCTCTCCCCACCTATCTCTCCCCACCTATCTCTCCCCCCTCTCCCCCACCTCTGATCTCTTCCCACCTCTCTCCCCCCCACCTCTGTCTCTCTCCCCCCCTCTCCCCCCCTCTGTCTCTCTCTCCCCCCCCACTCTCTCTCTCCCCACCCCTATCTCTCTCTCCCCTCTCTCTCCCCCACCTATCTCTCTCTCCCCACCTCTCTCTCTCCCCCACCTCTCTCTCTCTCCCCCACCTATCTCTCTCTCCCCCACCTATCTCTCTATCCCCACCTCCTCTCTCTCTCTCCCCCAACCTCTCTCGCTCTCCCCACTTATCTCTCTCTCCCCCACATCTCTCTCTCCCCCTATCTCTCTTCCCCACCTCTCTCTCCTATCTCTCTCTACCCCACCTTTCTCTCTCTCCCCACACTCTCCTCTCTCTCCCCACCTCTCTCTCTCTCCCCACCTCTCTCTCTCTCCCCCCTCTCTCTTCCCCCCCTCCCCCACCTATCTCTCCCCACCTCTCTCTCCCCAACCCGCTCTCTCTGCGTCCCCCACCGATCTCGTCTCTCTCTCCCCGCCCTCCCCACCGTATCTCTCCCCCACCTCTCTCTCTTCCCCCACCTCTCTCTGCTCCTCCCACCTCTCTCCTCTCTCTCCCCCCACCCCGCCCCCCATCTACTCCTCTCTCTCCCCGCCCCCCATCTCTCTCTCCCCCTTCTTGCTCCCCGTCTCAGTATGGCCACCCTACAGGACGGCCAGGGTAGTAACCCCAGCAGCAGTAATAGCAGTCAGGACTCTCTGAACAAGGCAGCCAAGAAGAAGAGCATCAAGTCCTCCATCGGGCGCCTCTTCGGCAAGAAGGAGAAGGGTCGGCCAGGCCCCCCAGGGAGCAAGGAGTTCCCTGGCAGCCAAGGTCAGTCCCCCCTCCCTAGAACATACCTGCTGAGTCATGTTCATTAGGCAACAAACAGATGAAAAAAACTGAAACCGGGAAGGGACTACCTAGACTGAAGTTGACCTCTGACCCTCATCTCTCCTCATAGCTGGTACCCCCGAGGCGGAGACCTCTCCCCAGGATGCACTGGGGCTGGGCAAACTGGGCGGCCCCGCTGAGAAGAACAGGAAACTGCAGAAGAAGTAGGTGTTTCCACATCCCGTCACCGCTTCTGTCAGTGACGCAACATACAGTGCATTCAGAAAGTATTTAGACCCCTTGACTTTTTCCACATTTTGTTACATTACAGCCTTATTCTAAAGTGGATTAAATAGTTTTCCCCCCTCAATCTACACACATTACCCCATAATGACGAAGCAAAAACAGGTTTTTATAAATTTGTGCACATTTATTACAAATAAAAAAACTATCACATTTATGTAAGTATTCAGACCCTTTACTCAGTACTTTGTTGAAGCACCTTTGGCAGTGATTACAGCCTCAAGTCTTCTTGGGTACGACGCTACAAGCTTGGCACATCTGTATTTGGGGAGTTTCTCCCATTCTTCTCTGCAGATCCTCTCAAGCTCTGTCAGGTTGAATGGGGAGCGTCGCTGCACAGCTATTTTCAGGTCTCTCCAGAGATGTTAGATCGGGTTCAAGCCCAGGCTCTGGCTGGGCCACTCAAGGACATTCAGAGACTTGTCCCAAAGCCACTCCTGCATTGTCTTGGCTGTGTGCTTAGGGTCGTTGTCCTGTTGTAAGGTGAACCCTGAGCACTCGGGAGCCGGTTTTCTTCAAGGATCTCTTTGTACTTTGCTCCATTCATCTTTCCCTCAATCCGGACTAGTCTCCCAGTACCTGCCCCTGAACAACATCCCCACAGCATGATGCTGCCACCACCGTGCTTCACCGTAGAGATGGTGCCAGGTTTCCTCCAGACGTGACGCTTGGCATTCAGGCCAAAGAGTTTAATCTTGGTTTCATCAAACCAAAGAATCTTGTTTCTAATGGTCTGAGAGTCTTTAGGTTCCTTTTGGCAAACTCCAAGTGGGCTGTCATGTGCCTTTTACTGAGGAGTGGCTTCCATCTGGCCACTCTACCATAAAGGTCTGATTGGTGGAGTGCTGCAGAGATGGTTGTCCTTCTGGAAGGTTCTCCCATCTCCACAGAGGAAACTGGTGCTCTGTCAGAGTGACAAACGGGTTCTTGGTCACCTCCCTGGCCAAGGCCCTTCTCCCCCGATTGCTCAGTTTGGCCGGGCGGCCAGCTCTAGGAAGAGTCTTGGTGGTTCCAAACTTCTTCCATTTAAGAATGATGGAGGCCACTGTGTTCTTGGGGACCTTCAATGATGCAGACATTTTTTGGTACCCTTCCCCAGATCTGTGCCTCGACACAATCCTGTCTCGGAGCTCTACGGACAATTCTTTCGATCTCATGGCTTGGTTTTTGCTCTGACATGCACTATCAACTGTGGGACCTTATATAGACAGGTGTGTGCCTTTCCAAATCATGTCCAATCAATTGAATTTACCACAGGTGGACTCCAATCAAGGATAATCAATGGAAACAAGATGCACCTGAGCTCAATTTCGAGTCTCATAGCAAAGGGTCTGAATACTCATGTAAATAAGGTATTTCTGTTTTCGCTTTGTCATTATGGAGTATTGTGTGTGTACATTGATTATGATTTTTTTTTTTTTTCATCCATTTTAGAATATGGCTGTAACATAACAAAATGTGGAAAAAGTCAAGGGGTTTGAGTACTTTCCGAATGCACTGTAGATACATCAGTAGATATTACTAATGGTAGCTAGACAGGTTCTATCTAGTTAACAGTAGATAGTCTGAGCGGCTGTGTCTATGAGTTGGCCACTCGGATGACTGTAATCAATAGGATATGCTGTTGCTCTGAGCAGTGACCAGGGTTTTTAACGCTTCCATCCCATAGATATCAATCTACTCCATCAACTGTAGATCTTGTTGCATTAGAGGTCAATCTAGCTCAGATACGTCTGGTTGATGGCTCCAGCCATACAGCTGTTTATGCTTGTGTGTTCTATATGGCCCTTCTAGATCTGACCAAAGCACTGTAACAGCCCTGTGTTGCTCTATGCTCACCCTGCCGTGTAGCGCTCTGCCACTTTCTCTCTCACACACAGCCACCGCTGTCCCTCCCAGGGACCTGGCCTCATGCCTCCCGCCCCATGCTGTCCCTCCCAGGGGACCTGGCCTCATGCCCCCCGCCCCATGCTGTCCCTCCCAGGGGACCTGGCCTCATGCCCCCGCCCCATGCTGTCCCTCCCAGGGGACCTGGCCTCATGCCCCCGCCCCATGCTGTCCCTCACAGGGGACCTGGCCTCATGCCCCCGCCCCATGCTGTCCTCATGCCCCCGCCCCATGCTGTCCTCATGCCCCCGCCCCATGCTGTCCCTCCCAGGGGACCTGGCCTCATGCCCCCGCCCCATGCCCCCGCCCCATGCTGTCCCTCCCAGGACCTGGCCTCATGCCCCCGCCCCTGCTGTCCCTCCCAGGGGACCTGGCCTCATGCCCCCGCCCCATGCTGTCCCTCCCAGGGGACCTGGCCTCATGCCCCCGCCCCATGCTGTCCCTCCCAGGGGACCTGGCCTCATGCCCCCGCCCCATGCTGTCCCTCCCAGGGGTCCTGGCCTCATGCCCCCGCCCCATGCTGTCCCTCCCAGGGGTCCTGGCCTCATGCCCCCCGCCCCATGCTGTCCCTCCCAGGGGACCTGGCCTCATGCCCCCGCCCCATGCTGTCCCTCCCAGGGGACCTGGCCTCATGCCCCCGCCCCATGCTGTCCCCTCCCAGGGGACCTGGCCTCATGCCCCCGCCCCATGCTGTCCCTCCCAGGGGACCTGGCCTCATGCCCCCGCCCCATGCTGTCCCTCCCAGGGGACCTGGCCTCATGCCCCCGCCCCATGCTGTCCCTCCCAGGGGACCTGGCCTCATGCCCCCGCCCCATGCTGTCCCTCCCAGGGGACCTGGCCTCATGCCCCCGCCCCATGCTGTCCCTCCCAGGGGACCTGGTCTCATGCCCCCGCCCCATGCTGTCCCTCCCAGGGGACCTGGCCTCATGCCCCCGCCCCATGCTGTCCCTCCCAGGGGACCTGGCCTCATGCCCCCCGCCCCATGCTGTCCCTCCCAGGGGACCTGGCCTCATGCCCCCGCCCCATGCTGTCCCTCCCAGGGGTCCTGGTCTCATGCCCCCGCCCCATGCTGTCCCTCCCAGGGGACCTGGCCTCATGCCCCCGCCCCATGCTGTCCCTCCCAGGGGTCCTGGCCTCATGCCCCCGCCCCATGCTGTCCCTCCCAGGGGACCTGGCCTCATGCCCCCGCCCCATGCTGTCCCTCCCAGGGGACCTGGTCTCATGCCCCCGCCCCATGCTGTCCCTCCCAGGGGACCTGGCCTCATGCCCCCGCCCCATGCTGTCCCTCCCAGGGGACCTGGCCTCATGCCCCCGCCCCATGCTGTCCCTCCCAGGGAACCTGGCCTCATGCCCCCGCCCCATGCTGTCCCTCCCAGGGGACCTGGCCTCATGCCCCCCGCCCCATGCTGTCCCTCCCAGGGGACCTGGTCTCATGCCCCCGCCCCATGCTGTCCCTCCCAGGGGACCTGGTCTCATGCCCCCGCCCCATGCTGTCCCTCCCAGGGGACCTGGTCTCATGCCCCCGCCCCATGCTGTCCCTCCCAGGGGACCTGGCCTCATGCCCCCGCCCCATGCTGTCCCTCCCAGGGGACCTGGCCTCATGCCCTCGCCCCATGCTGTCCCTCCCAGGGGCCTGGTCTCATGCCCCCGCCCCATGCTGTCCCTCCCAGGGGACCTGGCCTCATGCCCTCGCCCGTCCCATCCACACAAACTCAATCTCCCATCATGCAAATCACTGCAACTCCTCAGCCACACTGCCAGGGTCTGATTTTTCTAAGGGCCAGTTTCCCGGATTCCTATTACAGTAATTAGTGCTTTTTAGTACAGGGGTAGGCTCTATCTGTGTCCGGGAAACCAGCCCTATGCGTTTGTACAGCTTCATGCTTCTAGTTCAGGTTGATATTATGTAGTGTCGGCCAGGCTTCCATTTCATTCATTTTGATGAACTAATGTCCCCCGTTTTTCTTTTGAAGTAATCAAGGGGTGACTTGTTCATAGCTGTAAAACTTTCAATTATGCATAAAGTAAGGTGGCTGAATATTTGCGTTTTGAGCGATCATTTAATGACGCTTTCGATAGATCTACGTTATTTGAATACAGTCAAAGCCTGATTATCATTGGCCTTCACCACCAGGAGCTCTCATTGGCCGTCACCACCAGGAGCTCTCATTGGCCTAGTTTGCTATTTTTAATTGGCTTCAGTTCACTTTTTATTTAGCTGATTTTCACCCTTTTATTTCATCCCCCTCTCATTCCATCTGTAGTCCAAAGACAGGGTGAGTGATCTCCTCCATGTTGCTTGTTGCTTTGCCCTCTTTGCCGCCAAACAGTTGGCTTCATGCTGCCCTCACCAGCTCTCCTAAGACCTGCTCTGTTGTATTTTCCTCACTGCTATACCTACAGTACCATCTCAACTAACAGGAATGTGCCTAACCTGCCGTTTTAATAAAGCTTTCTCTGAGCCCCTTCTGGTGTTAACTTCATCCTTGTACTCTAGTTATCAGGGTTGGGGTCAATTCCATTTCAATTCCAGTCAATTCGGAATGTAAACCCAATTCCAAAATGTCCTAATTTGAAAAGCATGGTAGAGAATTGGAATTTCAGTGTACTTCCTGAATTCAATTTTTATTTGTCACGTGCTTCGTAAACATGAGACTTAACAGGTGTAGATTAACATAATTAACTGGAATTGACCGCGACCCTGGAAGTTACCACTGAGACAACTGAGTCAGTCTTGCCAGGTTTAGTTCTGGTCAGGTTCTAGTGGTATCTTTCCACTGCTAACAGGTTATTACAATGCTGTTATTAGAGTGAAGAAGTGGATGGAACTATCCTGTGGACCAAAATATTACACACAAAGAATAGACAAACATACTATCTGAGAAGGTTTTTTCCCATGTATTCTTTTGCATGTATTCGGTCCCCTACTGACGGTTCTCTTATGGATGCATTCTAACTAACGCAAGTTTCCCCCTATTACTGAACCGTTGTGATAACTCCGTTTCCCATGATGCCCTTAGTCTGTTAGCCACAAAGATACCGGTTATGTAACAGTGGCTTGGCATGAAGGTGGCCTTCTTCTTGACTCAGGAACAGGAGTCTTCCACCAAATGTATTGATTTAAAGGTGACTGTTCTGGAAATGATCTGGGGTTGCTCTCTCTCTCTCTCTCTCTCTCTCTATCTCTATCTCTCTCTATATATCTCTATATCTCTCTCTCTATATATATATATATATATATCTCTCTCTCTCTATATATATCTCTATATATATCTCTCTCTCTCTCTATATATATATATATATATATATATATATATATATATATATATATATATATATCTCTCTCTATTTATCTTTCTCTGGGTCCGAACTGCCGCAGGGTTAAAATCCTCAGCTTTCTCTCTGTTTTACCTCGGCATGGTTACAACAATGTGTGTGTGAGGTACTGAGTTTTCATGGTGTGCAGGTTGAGGTGTGTGTATGGCGTAACGGGCTCGTGTGTCTCTCTCTCTAACCCTGTGTGTTGTTTTAGGCATGAGTTGCTGGAGGAGGCTCGCAGGCAGAGTCTACCCTTCGCCCAGTGGGACGGCCCTACTGTAGTGGTCTGGTTGGAGGTGAGACGCACACACACACACACCACAAACTAATATGCACACACACACACATTCACCCAAAAACTCTCATGTGTACACCCACACACACATTCACCCAAAAACTCTCATGTGTACACCCACACACACATTCAAAACACAAAAATAACCCAATCCTGTCCTGTTTTTCTCCTGCCCTCCCCTCTCTGCCCTCCCCCTTTCACCTCTGCCCTCCCCTCTCACCTCTGCCCTCCCCTCTCTGCCTCTGCCCTCCCCTCTCTGCCCTCCCCTGCCAGCCTCTGTCCCCTCTCTGCCCTCCCCTGCCACCTCTGTCCCCTCTCTGCCCTCCCCTCTCTGCCCTCCCCTTTCACCTCTGCCCTCCCCTCTCACCTCTGCCCTCCCCTCTCTGCGCTCCCCTTCCACCTCTGTCCCCTCTCTGCCCTCCCCTTCCACCTCTGCCCCTCCGCGTCTCATGGCCCCTTCCCCTTCCCACCGCTCTGTCCCCTCTCCTCTGCCCTCCCCCTGCCACCTCTGTCCCCCCTCTGCTCTCTTGCCCCCCCTGCCACCCTGATCACCCCTCTCTTCTCTGCCCCTGTCCCTCTCTCTGCCCTCCCCTGCCACCTCTGTCCCCTCTCTCTGCCCTCCCCTGCCACCTCTGTTCCCTCTGTAGCTGTGGGTGGGTATGCCAGCCTGGTATGTGGCGGCGTGTCGTGCCAATGTGAAGAGCGGTGCCATCATGTCTGCCCTGTCGGACACAGAGATCCAGAGGGAGATTGGCATCAGTAACCCCCTCCACCGCCTCAAACTGAGACTGGCCATCCAGGAGATCATGTCCCTCACCTCCCCCTCTGCACCCCCCACCTCCAGAACCGTAAGAGAGAGACACACACATGCACACACACGCTCACACACACACAAACGAGAACACACACATACACACGTGTACCCATACACAGTGACACATACACACACACACACACCAAAGATACTGGTAGCTCCAAAATTAAGACAGTCCAAAGAAAATAATGGAGTCCAGCTCAGCCGTGGATCCTGGAGGACCTGTCCTCTTCTTCCGTTCCTCACCACCTGATTGGAGCATGCTACTGTCACTCCTCTAACCAGCTAATAGCGTTTCTCACTGTAACCTGTCCACCAATCGGAATTCACGGAGCATCACTCACAAGGACTGCCCTGATTGGGGCCTCTCTCTCTGTCTCTCTCTCTCTCTGTCTCTCTCTCTGTCTCTCTCTCTGTCTCTGTGTGTGTGAATCATTTGGTGTGATTAATAACAATACTGTCTGGTCTTCTTATTTCCCTTACCTTCCTCCCTCGTGTTCTTAAACAAAACAAATCCTCACTTCCTCTCCCTCCTCCATCTCCTTTCCCTCTCCTCTCCCTCCTCCCTGTCCTCTCACACGCTTGCATCACTGGTGATTCTTGGGATTGTCACATGATCAGTCCACGGGGAACGTGTGGGTCACGCACGAAGAGTTGGAGTGCCTTGCAGCCATGCCCCCCACGGTTAGTCTGGCCAAGCCATTGGGCAGTCGCTGGCGACTGGTAGTGATCTGGTTGGTAGTTGGGTGTTACTCCCTGTGTGTGTGCTTTTCTCACGGCCCTGTTTGTCCAAGTCTGTGTCTTGGTTTGGGCTTTTGGTGTCAGTAGGTGTGTTTTTGTGTGTGTGTGTGTGTCTGTCAGTTTGGTTGAAGGCTAAGTTCAGCATAGACTTAGCTTTTGAACTAAAATGACTGGTTAACATTAGATTTGTGTTATCTTTATGTTCCTGGCCTAATTGCTACACAGTATGTCAAGTTATAAAACTGTTTCATTTAAACACTTTTGCTCAATGCTATATTTACAGTCCTGTTTCAACCTGGGATTTACTAATACATGAAGTGGTACAATGGATATTTCAACAGGGAAAATACCGGTATTAGATATTGAAATGAGTTCTAGGTCAATCTCAGGTTCATAGAGAACAGGAAGCTAATGTAGCCTAAAGCATGAGCTGTGTTTGTTGCATGTCCAGTTTCTAGTTGAGTTGTCTTAACATTAACACTTGTTGAGTAGCATGTTCATGTTGAGCTGCCTAACCCAGCACTGCCACGGTCACTAACTCTAACCCGCTTCTCTTCTCTCACCATGCTAACCATGCTAACAACAGGAAGATGCCGAGGGCAGCTGGGCCCAGGTTTGTCTCTCCTCTCGCTGGCTGTGGTAGATGACGAGGACATTTCACCTTATTTCAGTTGGACAGTTTAGCTCTTCAGTTGGACAGTTTAGCTCTTCAGTTGGACAGTTTAGCTCTTCAGTTGGACAGTTTAGCTCTTCAGTTGGACAGTTTAGCTCATCAGTTGGACAGATGGTTGTTTCAGTTGGACAGTTTAGCTCTTCAGTTGGACAGATGGTTGTTTCAGTTGGACAGTTTAGCTCTTCAGTTGGACAGTTTAGCTCTTCAGTTGGACAGTTTAGCTCTTCAGTTGGACAGTTTAGCTCTTCAGTTGGACAGTTTAGCTCTTCAGTTGGACAGTTTAGCTCTTCAGTTGGACAGATGGTTGTTTCAGTTGGACAGTTTAGCTCTTCAGTTGGACAGTTTAGCTCTTCGGTTGGACAGTTTAGCTCTTCGGTTGGACAGTTTAGCTCTTCGGTTGGACAGTTTAGCTCTTCGGTTGGACAGTTTAGCTCTTCGGTTGGACAGTTTAGCTCTCGTTGGACAGTTTAGGCTCTTCGGTTGGACAGTTTAGCGCTGGCAGTTGGACAGTTTAGCTCATCTGTTGGGACAGATGGTTGTTTCCCCCAGTTGGGACAGTTTTTAGCTCTTCAGTTGGAACAGTTTAGCTCTTCAGGTTGGAAACAGTTTAGCTCTTCAGTTTGGACAGTTTAGCTCTCAGCTTTGGGACATTTTAGCTCTTCAGTTTGGACAGACTGGTTGTTTCAGTTGGACAGTTTAGCCTTTCAGTTTGGACAGTTGAGCCTCTTCAGTTGGAACAGTGTTTGAGCTCTTCAGGTTGGAACAGTTGAGCTCTTCAGGTTGGACAGTTTTAGCTCTTCATTGTGGACAGATGGTTTGTTTCCAGTTGGAAGTTTTTAGGCTCTTCAGTTTGGAACAGTTTAAGCTCTTCAGTGTGGACAGTTTTAGCTCTTCAGTTGGACAGTTTGATAGAGCCCTATCAGTTGGATCAGAATGGTTTGTTTCAGATAGTGGACAGTTTAGCTCTTCAGTTGGACAGTTTAGCTCTTCAGTTGGACAGTTTAGCTCTTCAGTTGGACAGTTTAGCCCTTCAGTTGGACAGATGGTTGTTTCAGTTGGACAGTTTAGCTCTTCAGTTGGACAGTTTAGCTCTTCAGTTGGACAGTTTAGCTCTTCAGTTGGACAGTTTAGCCCTTCAGTTGGACAGTTTAGCCCTTCAGTTGGACAGATGGTTGTTTCAGTTGGACAGTTTAGCTCTTCAGTTGGACAGTTTAGCTCTTCAGTTGGACAGTTTAGCTCTTCAGTTGGACAGTTTAGCTCTTCAGTTGGACAGTTTAGCCCTTCAGTTGGACAGTTTAGCCCTTCAGTTGGACAGATGGTTGTTTCAGTTGGACAGTTTAGCTCTTCAGTTGGACAGTTTAGCTCTTCAGTTGGACAGTTTAGCTCTTCAGTTGGACAGTTTAGCCCTTCAGTTGGACAGTTTAGCTCTTCAGTTGGACAGTTTAGCTCTTCAGTTGGACAGTTTAGCTCTTCAGTTGGACAGTTTAGCTCTTCAGTTGGACAGTTTAGCCCTTCAGTTGGACAGTTTAGCCCTTCAGTTGGACAGTTTAGCTCTTCAGTTGGACAGTTTAGCTCTTCAGTTGGACAGTTTAGCTCTTCAGTTGGACAGATGGTTGTTTCAGTTGGACAGTTTAGCTCTTCAGTTGGACAGTTTAGCTCTTCAGTTGGACAGTTTAGCTCTTCAGTTGGACAGTTTAGCTCTTCAGTTGGACAGTTTAGCTCTTCAGTTGGACAGTTTAGCTCTTCAGTTGGACATATGGTTGTTTCAGTTGGACAGTTTAGCTCTTCAGTTGGACAGTTTAGCTCTTCAGTTGGACAGTTTAGCTCTTCAGTTGGACAGTTTAGCTCTTCAGTTGGACAGTTTAGCCCTTCAGTTGGACAGTTTAGTGGTTATACACGTAGTGATAAGGCTTCCCATCAAACTCTTGTAGTGACAGACATTAACTCAGATGTCCTGTTTAGAAGCCACAGTCAGGACCGGATACAATTTATTAGAAGCCTCTGCTGTTTAGAAGTTGTCCCACCTGTCAGAACACAAATCAGTCTAGTTCACTGACCTCCCACCTATCAGAACACAAATCAGTCTAGTTCTCTGACCTCCCACCTATCAGAACACAAATCAGTCTAGTTCTCTGACCTCCCACCTGTCAGAACACAAATCAGTCTAGTTCTCTGACCTCCCACCTATCAGAACATGGATCAGTCTAGTTGTCTGACCTCCCACCTATCAGAACATAGATCAGTCTAGTTGTCTGACCTCCCACCTATCAGAACATAGATCAGTCTAGTTGTCTGACCTCCCACCTATCAGAACATAGATCAGTCTAGTTGTCTGACCTCCCTCCTATCAGAACATAGATCAGTCTAGTTGTCTGACCTCCCACCTATCAGAACATAGATCAGTCTAGTTGTCTGACCTCCCACCTATCAGAACATAGATCAGTCTAGTTGTCTGACCTCCCACCTATCAGAACATAGATCAGTCTAGTTGTCTGACCTCCCACCTATCAGAACATAGATCAGTCTAGTTGTCTGACCTCCCACCTATCAGAACATAGATCTGGCCTAGTTCCGTAGCGTAGCTGCTCTTAACCCTGCTGTAACTTACACACAATAGATTTTAATAGGGTGGTTTCCATCACTTTCACACCTAGCCTTTTTGTTGTTGTTGCAATGTCCTGGTAGCCTTTCGTAGCTATGGTAGCCATGACCCACTAACTCTTTACACTCCTCCTATAGACTCCCAAACACAGTCTGACCTAGCCCCTGTCCCTCCTCCTATAGACTCCCAAACACAGTCTGACCTAGCCCCTGTCCCTCCTCCTATAGACTCCCAACACAGTCTGACCTAGCCACCTGTCCCTCCTCCTATAGACTCCCAAACACAGTCTGACCTAGCCCTGTCCCTCCTCCTATGACTCCAAACACAGTCTGACCTAGCCCCTGTCCCTCCTCCTATAGACTCCCAAACACAGTCTGACCTAGCCCCTGTCCCTCCTCCTATAGGACTCCCAACACAGTCTGACCTAGCCCCCTGTCCCTCTCCTATAGACTCCCAAACACAGTCTGACCTAGCCCCTGTCCCTCCTCCTATAGACGCCCCAAACACAGTCTGGCCTGTACCCGTCCTCATCTATAGACTCCTAAAACACAGTCTGACCTAGCCCCTGTTCCTCCTCCTATAAGACTCCCAAACACGTCTGACCTAGCCCTGTCCCTCCTCCTATAGACTCCAACACAGTCTGACCTAGCCCCTGTCCCTCCTCCTATAGACTCCCAAACACAGTCTGACCTAGCCCCTGTCCCTCCTCCTATAGACTCCCAAACACAGTCTGACCTAGCCCCTGTTCCCTCCTCCTATAGACTCCCAAACACAGTCTGACCTAGCCCCTGTCCCTCCTCCTATAGACTCCCAAACACAGTCTGACCTAGCCCCTGTTCCTCCTCCTATAGACTCCCAAACACAGTCTGACCTAGCCCCTGTCCCTACCTCCACAGACGCTGGCGTACGGAGACATGAACCATGAGTGGATTGGTAATGAGTGGCTGCCCAGCCTGGGTCTGCCCCAGTACCGCTCCTACTTCATGGAGTCCCTGGTGGACGCCCGCATGCTGGACCACCTCACCAAGAAGGACATGAGGGGACAGCTCAAAATGGTGGACAGTTTCCACAGGTAAAAATACAAAATGGTGGATAGCTTCCACGGTTATTAGGAGCCGAAATGGTTTACAGTTTCCATAGGCAAGGTGACGAAATAAATGGTGGACAGTTCCCACTATTAAGGGCCAAAATGGTGCCATGGACGACTAGGGACGTTCGTTTTTGTTTCTCTTTATATGTTTAACCGGTCAGTGTGCCTGTGTAACAACAGGAACAGTTTCCAGTGTGGGGTGATGTGTCTGAGGAGACTGAACTACGACAGGAAGGAGCTGGAGAGGAGGCGTGACGAGACCCAGCTGGAGCTGCAAGGGAACAGCTGGGATAACGGTGAGAGAAAATGACAGTCAACGGAAGGGAGAAATGACCCCACTGTTCAGATTCACTCATCATTTAAGTTAGCTCCGCAACGCTAAGCTGATAACGCTATGGGAGAATCTGAAGTGTGGGTATTTATCCTTCTATTGCATCCATATACACATTTAGAAATGATGGGGTTTGTTTCTACAGAGGATTTCTTTGGACTTTTCCTCCGGTGGTATTTCCTGATCATATCAATGTTTTTCTAACACAGAGGAATAATTCCCACTGGAGGGTGGGGCATTCAAACAAAATGTCAACTTCATTTCATGTCAGTCCTGCTCTATTTCTTTATTTCACAGGGGAATTCTTTTGACTGTCCCTTGGATGCGTTTCCTGATCATTCCCCTAATGTTTCTGTACCATTACATACATTTACATTTACGTCACTTAGCAGACGCTCTTATCCAGAGCGACTTACAAATTGGGGTTACCATTTACCATTTACCATTTGTGTACCTTAAGCAGACGTGCTGGTGTGGAGCAACGAGCGGGTGATCAGCTGGGTGCAGGCCATGGGGCTGAAGGAGTACAGTAACAACCTGCTGGAGAGCGGCGTGCATGGCGCCCTGCTGGCCCTGGATGAAACCTTCGACCACAACGCCCTGGCCCTGCTGCTACAGATCCCCACCCAGAACACACAGGTAGGTACACCACAACGCACAGATCCCCACCCAGAACACACAGGTAGGTACACCACAACGCACAGATCCCCACCCAGAACACACAGGTAGGTACACCACAACGCACAGATCCCCACCCAGAACACACAGGTAGGTACACCACAGCGCACAGATCCCCACCCAGAACACACAGGTAGGTACACCACAACGCACAGATCCCCACCCAGAACACACAGGTAGGTACACCACAACGCACAGATCCCCACCCAGAACACACAGGTAGGTACACCACAACGCACAGATCCCCACCCAGAACACACAGGTAGGTACACCACAACGCACAGATCCCCACCCAGAACACACAGGTAGGTACACCACAACGCACAGATCCCCACCCAGAACACACAGGTAGGTACACCACAACGCACAGATCCCCACCCAGAACACACAGGACGTAGAGAGAGACACACACACACACACACACACACACACACACAGAATGTAGAGAGACACACACACTACCAGCATTGGTGGGTGGCTGTGAACCTCCCTGGCAGTCAAACAGCTCCCAGCTGAGACCTCAGCTCCACACGCACTCCTTCATCTACTCTCTCTTTCTCTGTGTCTCTCCCTCCTTCCTCCCTTGTAGGCCAGAGCAGCTCTGGAGAGAGAGTACAACAGTCTGCTGGCCATCGGCACAGAGAGGAGACTGGATGAGGTGAGACACTTACATATGATTCACCACACACACACACTCTCTTTCTAAAGCTCACACACACACACACTCTCTTTCTAAAGCTCACACACACACACACTCTCTTTCTAAAGCTCACACACACACACACACACACACTCTCTTTCTAAAGCTCACACACACACACTCTCTTTCCAAAGCACACACACACACACACACTCTCTTTCCAAAGCGCTCCTCCATGTATATCCACATCCTTATTTCCTTCCTGCTTCCTCCTCTCTGAATCTCTTCCAGGATGATGATAAGAACTTCCGGCGCACCCCGTCCTGGAGGAAGAAGTTCCGGCCCAAAGACGCGCGGGGGATGTCCCCGGGCTCAGCCGACACCCTGCCTGCCAACTTCAGACTGACCAATAGCAACGCAGCGTCCCCGTCCATGCAGCCAAAGAGGAGCCCCATGGACGGTACGACAGGGGTTGGGTCCACTGTGCCCAACTGTGTGTTAGGCATGGCACTGCTGTGGCTTTATCTCCATGAGACCTTACACAATATGCTTTCAACAATGGTTTAGTGTTTTCCCAGCTCTAGTGTGTGTGTGTGTTGTGCTGGAGATTGTGAGTGACTAACTAACAGCATGTTTCTGCATGTGGTTTTGCTGTGGGGATGCAGGGGGTCAGTCTGCAATACAGAGGCTGGACACTGCCACAGTCAGGACCTACTCCTGCTAACACCACACACGGTAAGTTTCACAATGCATCTAATCTTCTGTTAAAGCAGCTTGTTGTGCCTCGGCTTTTTTGGGCGATAATAACGCATGTCTACGCTTCTCCTCCTCCTCTATTCTGTCCTCTTCATCTGCTGCTTCTCTGCAAATCTCCCTCCCCCCCTTCCCCCCCTCCCCTCCCTTCCCCCCCTCCCCCCCTCCCTTCCCCCCCTCCCCTCCCTTCCCCCCCTCCCTTCCCTTCCCTTCCCCCCCCTCCCCCCCCTCCCCCCCCTCCCTCCCCCTCCCCTCCCTCCCTCCCTCCACCCCCCCCTCCCTCTATTCCCTCTCTCCTCTCTCTCCTCCCTCTCCCTTCTTAGTTTATCCTCATTATTTGTATAGGTGACTGCTGGTTGGAGGATGAGGGGTGTGAGTTCCCCTCCACCAGGAGCAGCTGCTGACCCTGCGACGACACTTCAACACAGTTTTATTGTTATCATAGATATAAAACAACTAGCAACCACATCACCAATCTCTATTTATGGAAGCAAGCTGGTGGGACATTTCAATGATTTTACATTTGTTATGTATCTCTCTCTTTCTTCACCCCTCTCTCCCACCTAAATCGAAATATCCCTCTTTTCTAAAACTTTTCCTACTGTGCCCTTATCAAGGTTAACTCTCAGATGTAACTGAATGTTTTTCGACGGTCTGGAGTTTGTATATTTATATCGACAGACATTATCTAATCTTTTTTATATATATTCCTGATCTTGTATTGACAAGATGTACATTTTGTATTTCTTTCTCTCCTCAGCTTTTGTTTTTAATCATTGAACTGATGCTCAAGTGACTTTAATATGTGACATTTTAACTGAATTGTATCCCTTTCCCTTCTGCCCCAGTCTCTTGTTGTCTTCAAGCATATCAATGGTGATTATTTGTAAATGCAGCTCTTATAGGACAATGAGGATATGTGAATATCAGAAATATTGCTGGAGATCTGACTGACTTTGTTTCACAAACTGCTGTGGTCGCTAAGCACCGGGCGGACCGTAACCACAACAAGGCCCTTGGTAACCGTGGCGACAGGTGACATGTGAAACAACTCTTTTTTTTTTGTTCTTTCTGGTGAAACCAAACCTGAAATACTAAAACAAAAGCCATAAACAGTAGTGAAGACCAGGGCTACTTTCAGATGCATCGCTTGGTAAGAGACCGTTCTGCTGTGTAGGATCTCCAATTCTCGGGTCAACCTCGCATGCTGAAGCTTTCCATTCCTCTTTCACTCCTTCCCATCATCCCTCTCCTTTCCCTGCCTTCTCCTGGAGCACGCAACGGAAGCCCAGACGCGCGTGAAGATGAACTCGCGTGTACCTGAGCCGAAAGCGTGGCAGCTGTACTATCGACGGACCAACTCCACTGTGGCCTAAACTGATCCCCGCGACTAGCTACTCACCCAAGGCGGAGCGATTCCACCCACAAACCTTTTAACAAACACTTTGTACTACGGAGACTTCTAATCAAGCCTTATGGTTTTTTTCTTTTCTCCTTTCTCTGTCTTTCTTATTTATTCTTCATCCCTGTCGTGTTTGTTGCAAAAGCTGTTTTTTATCTTGAGTGTTTCAACACAGGATCCTGTGTCAATACTTTTTCAAGGCAAATTATGTCACGGAACCGAAGACTTGTCCTTTCCACCCTACATGTACACTACATTAGTTATGTTATTCCCTTTGTAATTTAGTCATTTATAATGCAAATCCTGTTACTGTCCTGTTTTTTTTTAAATCTCCTGTTCTCCCCATTTATATTTTCCGGATCTGGTAACAAAATGATGTACAGTCTGAGTACTTATGAACTATTTTATCACAGTATTATTTATTGCTTACTTTCAATAAAATACTGAAACTTATTTTCCACTGCCAATAAAAAGACTAAGTCTTTGTGTTAAATGCATCGCTTGCCTTTGCAGTCATCTTAAAACCATGTGGTGTTAAGACTAGAAACCCCTTCCAATGACTCGGTTGGGGCTTGTATAGTTGTACACCACTGTATGCCCTGATAGGGGGAATGTAAACTTTCATTACATACAAAGAGAAGAAAATACAGAAACATGGTCCTTTTGTGGCTCACAGGGTTGCAAAATTCCGGTAACTTTCCATGTTTTCCAGAAATCCTGGTTGGAGGATTCCGGATTTCCTGCTTATTCCCACCTGATTCTGGGAATCCTGCAACTGGGATTTCTGGGAATTTGGGGAAAGTTACTGGAATTTTGCAACCCTGGTGGCGCAGTTGGTGCTTGCAATGCTTTGGATTCAGCTTTGTAAACTTTTTATTTGGAAATTATATTTGTCAAGGGTTGCAAGGAAACAAACCCACAATATTTGATTTTGCAGCCCGATTCTCAAAGCCCTCGTGAATTTCACAATGATGGAAACTCCCTCATCATGAAAGTAATGAGTGACACAAGATGATCATTTATAACTGCAATGAGCTGTCCTCAAGATCTCTTTCCACCCATTTTTCTGTGGTTAAAAAGGTCCATCTAGTGGCAAATATGTGGTCATACAAAATGTATACAAATACAGCAAAAATAGTCATTTCACTTCACCCCCATAGTTTCAAATGAATTGCTCTATTAAACAACTGCATTGTTTTATGGTGTGAAATTTTTAAATATTGTTCCTCTTCGGTTACTTGTACCAGTTTGACACCTATAATTATTGTTTGGGCTAAACCTTCCTACTGTACAATTCCTGACACCTTCAATTCTGTTCCAAACCAAGCCGAAAGAATGTGGTGCTTCACTTGTAAAAGACAAGATTACATGTGATTTCACAAATAACTACCATGTACTTGTGTGACTGGTGATGGTTCCATTTTTTTTATTTTTTTTTATCACATGTAATTTGATTTTCAAGATACAGAGAATTATGTATATTAACACTTAATTAACATGGAATAGCTATCGTACCATTTTAAAATGTGTCCAGTGTCCCCGATTCTCTGTTGCAATATGTATATAAGAGATCAACTGTGTAATAAAAGACATACAGTTATCATTGTCCTATCTAAATGGTTAGTAAAGCAAACAAGAATTGTCTGTTTAAAAATCCCTATACAAGTATTGTTTTAAACAACGCCTACTTTATATCACATCAAACACCAACCCTGAATTCATTCATAGTGAAATCTGATGTGCATTAGGATGTTTTGGCCATTTTATATACAGTACCAGTCAAAAGTTTGGACACACCTACTCATTCAATGGTTTTTCTTTATTTTTACTTTTTTCTACATTGGAGAATAATAGTGAAGACATCACACTATGAAATAACACATGGAATCATGTAGTTACCAAAAAAGTTTTTATTTTTATTTTATATTTGAGATTCTTCAGAGTAGCCACCGTTTGTCTTGATGACAGCTTTGCACACTCTTGGTATTCTCTCAACCAGCTTCATGAGGAATGCTTTTCCAACAACCTTGAAGGAGTTCCCACATATGCTGAGCACTTGTTGGCTGCTTTTCCTTCACTTTGCAGTCCAACTCATCCCAAACCATCTCAATTGGGTTGAGGTCAGGTGATTGTGGAGGCCAGGTCATCTGATGCAGCACTCCATCACTCTCATTGGTCAAATAGCCCTTACACAGCCTGGAGGTGTGTTTTGGGTCATTGTCCTGTTGAAAAACAAATGATAGTCCCACTAAGCGCAAACCAGATGGAATGGCGTATCGCTGCAGAATGCTGTGGTAGCCATGCTGGTTAAGTGTGCCTTGAATTCTAAATAAATCACAGACAGTGTCACTAGCAAAGCACCATCAAACCACCACCTCCATGCTTCACGGTGGGAACCACACATGCAGAGATAATCCGTTCACCTACTCTGCGTCTCCAAAGACACGGCGGTTGGAACCAAAAATCTCAGATTTGGACTCATCAGACCAAAGGACATATTTCCACCGGTCTAATGTCCATTGCTCGTGTTTCTTGGCGAAGCAAGTCTCTTCTTCTTATTGGTGTCCTTTAGTAGTGGTTTCTTTGCAGCAATTCGACCATGAAGGCCTGATTCATGCAGTCTCCTCTGAACAGTTGATGTTGAGATGTGTCTGTTCCTTGAACTCTGTGAAGCATTTATTTGGGCTGCAATTTCTGAGGCTGGTAACTCTAAAGAACTTATCCTCTGCAGCAGAGGTAACTCTGGGTCTTCCTTTCCTGTGGCGGTCCTCATGAGAGCCAGTTTCATCATAGCGCTTGATGGTTTTTGTGACTGCACTTGAAGAAACTTTCAAAGTTCTTGACATTTTCCGGATTGACTGACCTTCATGTCTTAAAGTAATGATGGACTGTCGTTTCTCTTTGCTTATTTGAGCTGTTCTTGCCATAATTTGGACTTGGTCTTTACCAAATAGAGCTATCTTCTGTATACCACCCCTACCTTGTCAGAACACAACTGATTGGCTCAAATGCATTAAGAAGGAAATAAATTCCACAAATTAACTTTTAACAAGGCACACCTGTTAATTGAAATGCATTCCAGGTGACTACCTCATGAAGCTGGTTGAGAGAATGCCAAGAGTGCGCAAAGCTGTCATCAAGGCAAAGGGTGGCTACTTTGAAAAATCTCAAATATATTTTGATTTGTTTAACACTTTTTTGGTTACTACATGATTCCATATGTGTTATTTCATAGTTTTGATGTCTTCACTATTATTCTACAATGTAGAAAATAGTCAAAATAAAGAAAAATCCCTGAAAGAGTAGGTGTGTCCAAACTTTTGACCGGTAGTGTGTATAAAAAACATCTCCAGTTGTCATTTAACGTAGTTTACCTGTCTGGTTGCAGTGTTCCTGGGTGCTGATATCTTCCTCTATCTGCTGTAGTACTGCGACACAGATAGAACAAGGAGCCAGATCTCTCGCAGGATGAATGAATCTGAAGCATTCGTTTAGAAGTCCAGTTGTGGGAGAAGATGGAGCTAGACGAAACTTGGCTGACATTCTGCTAATTTTCTCATCGATGGAACATTAGATCTCAGTACAGTTTTCTGTTCCCAAAACTCAAATCTGTTGCGAACAGAGTGGATTAAGTTTTGTAGATTTGACCCTTTTCTAAAAGTTTCAGAAAATGGCATTGTTTAGAAGGAGTGCAAGGGCGAATTGAGTTATTGCACACGCGCACTTCACAGAGTAGGCGTTTGATAACGGAAGTATGCAAATAAATGCTAGAACGCGCTTGGCTCTGCCCACCTGCGAGATATGGCTGTGTCGTATGGTTGCAGTCTTGTGAGCTTCGACCCAACTTTGCTATTTTGTTATTCTTTAGCCGTTTATCTTTACTTTTGTGTACAGAATGTTTCCGCTATCTGTTATGACCGTCAAACGTATCATAAACATCAGATCGGCAGTTACTAACCTTCATTTCGGCTTCAACTCCGACTCATTGGCCCTGGACTCTCTGTTTACCTCTGACCAGGCTCTCATCCCCGGGCTACCCAGGAGAAAAAGTGGCAGGAGAGCAGGCGTACTGGTGAGACTAGGGCAAAGGGGAAAACCGGCCACTGCTTCCATCCATTTTACTGGTCAATGTTCAGTCACTTGATAACAAGAAGGATGACCTTCGATGGAGGATTTGCTACCAAAGAGACATTCGAAATTGCAATATCATCTGTTTTACTGAATGAAACTTGGATTTCGGATGAGTCACCCCCCCCCCACGGCTTTCACACTCAACGGACTTTCCATGCACCGAGGGAACAGGACTTCGGCTTCAGGAAAATCCAGAGGGGGAGGAGTTTCTACATCAACAATAGATGGTGTGCAGACTAGCGTAGTGACAGTCTCGTCCTACTGTTCACCTGACCTGGAATATCTGATGGTCAAATGCCAACCCTTCTATCTCGCGAGAGAGTTTTAATCTGTTATAGTCACAGCTGTTTATATCCCACCTCAGGCCAACACCGCGCTCGCACTCAATGACCTGTACAAGGCTCTAAACAAGCAGGAAACTGCCCACCCAGAGGCTGCTCTGATTGGATCTGGGGATTTTAATGCTCCGTCACTGAAACACACGTGATGACAAACTTTTACCAACACTTCTCCTTTGCCACGACAGCCGCTAAAGTTTTAGATGACTGTTATACAACACACATGCAAGCTTACAAGGCCCTCCCTCGACCCCCTTTCGGCAAATCAGATCCCGACTCTATACTCCTATTTCCTGTTTACAGGTAAAAGCTCAAGCAGGAAGTACCCGTGACGCACATGATAGAGAGATGGTCCGTTGAAGCAGAGGCTACAAGACTGCTTTGCTAGCACGGACTGGAATATGTTCTGGGACTCCGCCGATAACATTGGCGAGCTTACAACCTCCGTCACGAGCTTCATAAGGAAGTGCATCGACGATGTTGTCCCCACAACCTGCTGCTTTCCCAACCAAAAACCCTGGATTAACACAGATACGCGCCAAACTAAAGGACAGGACCGACGCACATAAGGCTATAGTAGCTGCAGTCGAGGCTACGAACGCGTACAAGAAGTCCTGCTACGACCTCTGCAGAACCACCAAAAATGCGAAAAGACAATACTGGAATAAGGTGGAATCCTACTACACCGGCTCTGACACTCGTCAAATGTGGCAAGGACTACAGTCTATTACGGATTATAAAAGAGGACCTAGCCATGAACTACCCAACGATGCCTCTCTACCAGACGATTTGAAAGCTTTTCATGCACGCTTCCACAAAAACAACAGAGCCTTGTATGAGGGCCCCCGCTGATCCGGAGGACTGGGTGATCTCACTCTCCGAGGCTGACATAAGGCTTTTAAACGGGTCAACACTCGTAAGGCCGCAGGGCCAAACGGTATTCCAGGCCGCGTCCTCAGGGCATGTGCAGACCAGCTGGGAGGCGTCTTCGTTGATATTTTCAATCTCTCCTTGTCCCAGTCTGTAATCCCCACGTTTCAAGCTGACTACCAACATTCCTGTTCCCAACCTGCCACAATAACTACCGCCCTGTAGCGCTCACATCTATAATCAGGAAGTGCTTTGAAAGGCTGTTCATGGCACACATCAACTCCCATCATCCCAGACACCCTGGACCCACTCCAATTTGCATACCGCCTTAACAGATCCACAGACGACGCGATCTCAATTGCACTCCAGACTGTCCTCCCCCGCCTAGAAAAGAGGAATACCCATGTTCCTCGGCGTCCACATCACTGAGGATTTAACGTGGTCATCTCACACCAACACAGTCGTGAAGAAGGCACGGCAACGCCTCTTTCCCCTCAGGAGACCGAAGAGATTTGGCATGACGCCTCAGATCCTCAGGAACTTTTACAGGTCTACCATCGAAAGCATCCTGACTGGTTGTATCACCGCCTGGTATGGCAACTGCTCCGTCCGCGACCGCAAGGCCCTACAGAGGGTGGTGCGGATGGCCATCCAAGACATTTATACCAGGCGGTGTCTGAGAAAGGCCCTACAGAGGGTGGTGCGGATGGCCATCCAAGACATTTATACCAGGCGGTGTCTGAGAAAGGCCAGAAAAACTGCCAAGGACTCCAGCCACCTGAGCCATGGACTGTTTCTCTCTGCTCCTGTTCCGCAGGCGGTACTGGAGCATCGAGTCGCGGACCAACAGGCTCCGAAATATACTGAACAAAAATATAAACGCAACATGCAACAATTTCAACCATTTTACTGAGTTACAGTTCATATGAGGAAATCAGTCAGTTGAAATAAATTCATTCATCCTAATCTATGGATTTCACATGACTGGGAATACAGATATGCATCTGTTGGTCACAGATACCTTAAAAAAAAATGGCCTCACAATGGGCCTCAGGATCTCGTCGCAGTATTTTTGTACATTCAAATTGCCATCGATAAAATGCAATTTTGTTCGTTGTCCGTAGTTTATGCCTGCCCATACCATAACCCCACTGCCACCATCGGGCACTCTGTTCACAACGTTGACATCAGCAAACCGCTCGCCCACACGACGCCATACACGTGGTCTGCGGATGTGAGACCGGTTGGACGTACTGCCAAATTCTCTATTACGACATTGGATGCAGTTTATGGTAGAGAAATGAACATGAAACACTCTGTCAACAGCTCTGGTGGCATGCCAATTGCACGCTCCCTCAAAACTTTAGACTCCCTCAAAACTGCACAGTTTAGAGTGGCCTTTTATTGTCCCCCAGCACAAGGTGCACCTGTGTATTGATCATGCTCTTTAATCAGCTTCTTGATATGCCACACCTGTCAGGTGGATGGATTATCTTGGCAAAGGAGATATGCTCACTAACAGGGATGTAAACAAATTTGTGCACAACATTTGAGAGAAGTAAGCTTTTTGTGCGTATGGAACATTTCTGGGATCTTTTATTTCAGCTCATGAAACCAACACTTTACATGTTTGCGTTTAAATTTTTGTTTAGTGTAGCTTCTTTCCCCAGGCCATAAGACTGTTGGATAGATATCTACCAATGCCCTTCCTCTCTACCACAGAATACTGTTGGATAGATATCTACCAATGCCCTTCCTCTCTACCACAGAAGACTGTTGGATAGATATCTACCAATGCCCTTCCTCTCTACCACAGAAGACTGTTGGATAGATATCTACCAATGCCCTTCCTCTCTACCACAGAAGACTGTTGGATAGATATCTACCAATGCCCTTCCTCTCTACCACAGAAGACTGTTGGATAGATATCTACCAATGCCCTTCCTCTCTACCACAGAAGACTGTTGGATAGATATCTACCAATGCCCTTCCTCTCTACCACAGACTATCTGCACAGACTCTATGCCCATTCTCAGGTCTCTACCACTCAACCACACACACCTACCCTAACGCTTCACATTCACGCTCACACACTCAGTACTGACACCACACGCATACACTCACTCATTACCATGCACACACCACAAATGCTGCTACCATGACTGATAGTGAATAATATTACCACTAGCATTTATCCTGCTACAAGCCCCTTTTTACCCCTGTTTACATGTACATTCCTTCCTCAGTCACACCCTGCACATTGTAATAATGGTACTGGCTCCTGTATATCAGACCTGTAACGTAGACACGGGGAGTCAGGAAGCAAGCGCATTTAGTGTGTTTTAATTACGAAGAACATGGAACGATACAAAACAACGGGAGCTTCAAACACGGAAACATAAACAATACTGCCTGAGGGCTGAACACAATGGAGCGCTAGATAAAGGGGGAGTAATCAGGGAAGTGATGAAGTCCAGCTGTGTCTGATGATGAGGCGCAGGAGTGCGTAATGATGGTTGCCAGGTGTGCGTAATGATGGTTGCCAGGTGTGCGTAATGATGGGTTGCCAGGTGTGCGTAATGATGGTTGCCAGGTGTGCGTAATGATGGGTTGCCAGGTGTGCGTAATGATGGGTTGCCAGGTGTGCGTAATGATGGGTTGCCAGGTGTGCGTAATGATGGTTGCCAGGTGTGCGTAATGATGGTTGCCAGGTGTGCGTAATGATGGGTTGCCAGGAGTGCGTAATGATGGTTGCCAGGTGTGCGTAATGATGGTTGCCAGGTGTGCGTAATGATGGTTGCCAGGAGTGCGTAATGATGGTTGCCAGGTGTGCGTAATGATGGGTTGCCAGGTGTGCGTAATGATGGTTGCCAGGTGTGCGTAATGATGGGTTGCCAGGTATGCGTAATGATGGGTTGCCAGGTGTGCGTAATGATGGGTTGCCAGGTGTGCGTAATGATGGTTGCCAGGTGTGCGTAATGATGGTTGCCAGGTGTGCGTAATGATGGGTTGCCAGGAGTGCGTAATGATGGTTGCCAGGTGTGCGTAATGATGGTTGCCAGGTGTGCGTAATGATGGTTGCCAGGTGTGCGTAATGATGGGTTGCCAGGAGTGCGTAATGATGGTTGCCAGGTGTGCGTAATGATGGTTGCCAGGTGTGCGTAATGATGGTTGCCAGGTGTGCGTAATGATGGGTTGCGAGGACCGGTGGTCAGTAGATATCAGACCTGTATATATTAGACCTGTATATATCAGACCTGTATATATTAGACCTGTATATATTAGACCTGTATATATCAGACCTGTATATATCAGACCTGTATATATCAGACCTGTATATATTAGACCTGTATATATTAGACCTGTATATATCAGACCTGTATATATCAGACCTGTATATATCAGACCTGTATATATTAGACCTGTATATATCAGACCTGTATTTAACTGCATTCTCATGTTTCTTGTCTTTTTCTTATCTCACGTTTCACGTTTTATTTGTTATCTGTATTATTGGCTTTATTGTGCGTTGTTGGGAAAGAGCTCACAAGTTAACGTTTCACTATACTGTTTTAGACCTGCTTTATCCTGCGCATGGGACAATAAAACTTGAAACTTGAAACTTGCATGTTCTGCCCACTATGTTTAATTAGCTCCCGTTGGAAACAACACTGGTGGTGTATCTTGCTTTACTTATGAACATCTTTTGACTTATGTCTCATGGAGGTTGACTGTCCACTTTTGAATCCCGTAGCAGGAGTCACAGAAGAGCCGTCGGTTCCGTATTCTGACCTCAGCTCCGGCCTCCGATGCGCCCAGCAGCTCGGACTTACAATCGATGCACTTGAAACAGGTCAAATGATAAACAAGCCCCAGGGACTCGATGACCATTGCGGCTCCCTTGACCAGAGCCGTGTCACAGAACGTGCAGATTTTCTTGCCACTCACTGTCCTGCTGCTTTCATGCAAGGATATAAGTGACTCAGACTTGGGGCCAGTAGAAGGGTTGGGGGAGGAGGGGGAGGGAGAGGGAGAGGACTGGGACCAGGAAGACAGGTTGCTTCCACCCCCGGCTCCTCTGAGGGAGCTCATGGAGAGAGAGGAGGGCATAGTGGCTGAGCCGGAATGACCTCTGACCCCGCCGCTGTAGGTGTTGAGACCAGAGAGGCCAGAGTGAGGCCAGCTGTAGGTGTTGAGCCCAGAGAGGCCAGAGTGAGGCCAGCTGTAGCTGGGGATGGAGGAGGGGCTTTCCGGTGTCCACGACGAACGCCAGGAAGAGCATCGCGCAATGTCCAGGTTGTCGAGAGACTTGCCTCTCCTGATGGGTCCGGCGGCAGGGTGCTTGCTGGTGGAGCGCTGGCAGATCCAGCTGTTGTCGGGACGCAGTCTGGTTTTCTTACTCTCCAGAGGGATCTGCTGCCTCTCCAGCGCCGCCTGGGGCAGGCTCTGCTGGCCTTTTATCCACGATGCCTCACCCAGCCTGTCACTGCTAGTCACTTTGATCTCTGGTTTCTCCACATGGTCCAGGTCAGCAGTGGATTTGGACTTTGCCCTGTCTGCCATGGATATCTCAGGCTGGACCTTGCCGGTAGAGCCATAGGAGTCCCCCATCGATTGCTGCTGCTGCTCCCTCTCGCTCTCCCTCTCTCTTTCCCTTCCTATGCGCTGTTGTTCCGCAGCCTCCTGGTGCCCCCTCTCCTCTTCCCTAATGTCCTCCTTCCTCGTCTGCCGTCTCAGCCCCTCCTCCTGTCTTTGTCTCCTTCCCTCTTCCTGCTCCTCTCTCCTCTTCTTCTCTGAGGTGTTTCTCTGTAGTACCAGTTCTTCAGTGACATCCACCATGACGTGTCTCCGCAGTGCTTCTATTATAAAGTGCTTCCTAACGTGTTTCTCACAGTAGTAGACGGAGCAGGTCAGACAAAGCTTCATAGCTTTGCGCTCAGAGCAGATATCACATGGTTCTCCTGGTCTGGTTCTTGATTGGGAAAAGAAAATAGGAATTACCTACTTGTCAAATACACGGATCAGCAAAACCTCATCTGTTAGATTTACTACACATGCTAACAAATACATAATAATGTAGCTAATGAAAACCTACTTATAAACTATCTGTTTCAAGGTTATTATAGTAAATAAAACTACTCATGAAACAACAATTTAGTAAACTGAAATAAATAATTAACAACCCTGTTTGAAAAACGAAAACTATACTGAAGCTATTATTTTTGACTCCCCAAACTACGACTGCATGAACTTTATAAAACCCGTGATCGAAGGTCATGACATTTGACTGCAGTCGACTGCAAGTTTCTACAGTTGCTCTTCGCCACCTTTAGCCTGCAGCCACGATTCATATATAGCAGGCTACAATGGATATATACAAATTAATGTGATACAGTATTTAAGGCTCTCTCTCACTTAGTGATTGTACTGTACACACATATATTTTAGTTTGTGAGTGTGTGACATAAAGAACCCCTTTTATAAACCAATGGCAACACTGCCATGTTGATCTGAGCCTTGCTGTTGGAAAACCACATCAGTGTCCTGACTATCGGCTCTCGCAGTTTATCTCCTCGACTTTTGTCTACAGACGGTTGGTTTAGCCTTATCATTCAAACGCGCCCATTGACTTTATAATTTAAAGGTAAACTCAGTGAGATGACTTTGGACGAAAGTCGAGGACTGAAGTCGGGGGGAGGTGCCTCTACGACAGCGGAAAGTCGTTACGCTAACGTGGTTTTCCAACAGCGAGGCTCAGATCAACATGGCGGTGCTGCCATTGTTTATAAAAGGGGTTCTTTATAATGTTGAAATAAACACGTATCCAACCCCATATCACACACTCACAACCCAAAATCATCACATAATGTATGTTCACATTGTACAATCAATTAGTGAGAGAGCCTCAAATATCACATTTATTTGCGTATTTTCACAATTTGGTTCCTGTTTCAGTCATGTCTTTGGTCACGTTCGGCTGATCAAACAAAAAACACCCTAATGATTGGTTAACAATAGATCCTCCCACAATGCAGGTGATTGTTGCAGGAGGAAATTGGTGAAGAGGAACTGCAGAAACTTGCAGTTGACACTTCATGACCTTTGATCACATGATTTTTGTAAAGTTCATGCATTCGACATGTAGTCGGACAATTTTTATCCCCAGAACGGAAAAACACTTTGAAAGACTTGACAAAAGTGATCCGCTCAAAAGCTCCCATTGAGATGAGCACGATGTAAAACTTTGGTCTCACACGGTCACACAGAGAACATGTGCAGGGGTGCGCTTCACTCTGCTAACCGTGGTAGCTACGGGAACAAAACAGCAGAGAAGTTCAGAGTCACGCTTCAATGCTCCTGGTTGTTGCAGAAATCTACTCTATATAAAAAGGTATGTGGACACCCCTTCAAATGTGTGGATTTGGCTATTTCAGCCACACCCGTTGCTGACAGGCGTATAAAATCAAGCACACCGCCATGCAATCTCCATAGACAAACATTGGCAGTAGAATGGCCTTACTGAAGAGCTCAGTGACTTTCAAGGTGGCACCGTCATAGGATGCCACCTTTCCAACAAGTCAATTAGTCAAATTTCTGCCCTGCTAGAGCTGCCCCGGTCAACTGTAAGTGCTGTTATTGTGAAGTGGAAACGTCTCAGAGCAACAACAGCTCATCTGTGAAAACATTGTCTGTCCTCAGTTGCAACACTCACTACCAAACTGCCTCTGGAAGCAATGCCAGTACAAGAAGTGTTCGTCGGGAGCTTCATGAAATGGGTTTCCATGGCCGAGCACAAGCCAGCTTAAGAATCACCATGCGCAATGCAAAGCGTCGGCTGGAGTGGTGTAAAGATCGCCGCCATTGGACTCTGGAGCAGTGGAGACACGTTCTCTGGTGAATCACGCTTCACCATCTGGCAGTCCAATGGACGAATCTGGGTTTGGCAGATGCTACCTGCCCAAATGTATAGTGCCAACTGTAAAGTTTGGTGGAGGAGGAATAATGGTCTGGGGCTGCTTTTCATGGTTCGGGCTAGGCCCCTTAGTTCCAGTGAAGGGAAATCTTAACGTTACAGCATACAATTACATTCTAGACGATTCTGTGCTTCCAACTTTGTGGGAACAGTTTGGGGAAGGCCCTTTCCTATTTCAGCATGACAATGCCCTCGTGCACAAAGCGAGGTCCATACAGAAATGGTTTGTCGAGATCGGTGTGGAAGAACTTGACTGGCCTGCACAGAGCCCTGACCTCAACCCCATCTAATACCTTTGGGATGAATTGGAACGCCGACTGTGAGCCAGGCCTAATCGCCCAACATCAGTGCCCGACCTCACAAAGGCTCTTGTGGCTGAACGGAAGCAAGTCCCCGCAGCAATGTTCCAACATCTAGTGGAAATCCTTCCCAGAAGAGTGGAGGCTGTTATAGCAACAAAGGAGGGGACCAACTCCATATTAATGCCCATGATTTTGGAATGAGATGTTCAACGAGCAGGTGTCCACATACTTTTGGCTACCTTTAAAGGCCCAAATGCAGCCATTTTTAGAAATCTCAATATCACATCATTTCTGGGTAACAGTTATGTGCCTTACTATGATTGTTTTCAATTAAAATGGTCAAAAAGAAGCAAATTGCTTCTTAGCAAAGAGACATTTCTCAAGCAAGAATTCTGCTAGGACTGTCTGGGAGTGGTCTGAGTGGGGAGGGGAAAACTGAAAGCTAGCTGTTATTGGCAGAGAGGTTTGGAACTCTCTTTCTTATTGGTCTATTAACTAATTGATGTCAGGCAAAAACTCCATCCCACCAAAACAGGCTGAAACTTCAGGCAGTCTTTTCAAACAGCGCTTACACTAAAAGAGCATTTTTCATAATTTTCACAATTTCACAGTATTATTCCAACCTCATAGTGTGGAAATATATATAAAACACAGGCATATTTGACTGCACTGGGCCTTTAAACATAACCTAACCTATGATCTGACCCATCACTTTATGCATTACTGATCCACAGGTGCAAAAAGTGACATCACAAAAAACTATACAGGCTACTTCCTGTCCCTAACACTAAAACTAAAACTGAAAGTAAATCATATAAAAACGAAATGGAAAGGTTATTAGAAAACTTAAACTAAATAAAAACGAGTAAAGTGGCTCAAAAAATATAACTGAAACTAACTGAATTTCTAATAAAAATCTTAACTAATAGAAATAAAAATGAATGTAAAAACACAAAACTATACTGAACAAAAATATAAATGCAACATGCTACAATTTCAAAGAGTTACAGTTCATTAAGGAAATCAGTCAACTGAAATAAATTCATTATAATAATAATAATAATATGCCATTTAGCAGACGCTTTTATCCAAAGCGACTTACAGTCATGCGTGCATACATTTTTTTTGTGTATGGGTGGTCCCGGGGATCGAACCCACTACCTTGGCGTTACAAGCGCCGTGCTCTACCAGCTGAGCTATAGAGGACCACATTAGGCCCTAATCTATGGATTTCACATGACTGGGAATACAGATATGCATCTGTTGGTCCCAGGTACCTTCAAAAAAAGGTAAGGGGCGTGGATCAGAAAACCAGTCAGTATCTGGTGTGACCACCATTTGCCTCATATAATGCGACACATATCCTTTAACATTTATGTCATTTAGCAGACGCTCTTATCCAGAGCGACTTACAGGAGCAATTAGGGTTAAGTGCCTTGCTCAAGGGCGACAGATTTTTCACCTAGTCGGCTCGGGGATTAGAACCAGCGACCTTTCGGTTACTGGCACAACGCTCTTAACCACTAAGCTACCTGCCGCTGGAACTGGAACACGCTGTCATACATGTCGATCCAGAGCACCCCAAACATGCTCGATGGGTGACATGTCTGGTGAATATGCAGGCCATGGAAGAACTGGGAGATTTTCAGCTGCCAGAAATTGTGTACAGATCCTTGCGACATGGTGCCATGCATTATCATGCTGAAACATGAGGTGATGGTGGCAGATGAATTGCACGTCAATGGGCCTCAGGATCTCGTCACGGTATCTCTGTGCATTCAAATTGCCATCGATAACATGCAATCGTGTTCGTTGTCCGTAGTTTATGCCTGCCCATACCATAACCCCACCGCCACAATGGTGCACTCTGTTCACAACATTGACATCAGCAAACCACTCGCCCACACGACGCCACGGTTGTGAGTCCGGTTGGACGTAGAGAAATGAATATTAAATTATCTGGCAACAGCTTTGGTTTACATTCCTGCAGTCAGCATGCCAATTGCACGCTCCCTCAAAACTTGAGACATCTATGGCATTGTGTTGTGTGACAAAACTGCACATTTTAGAATGGCCTTTTATTGTCCCCAGCACAAGGTGCACATGTGTAATGATCATGCTGTTTAATCAGCTTCTTGATATGTCACATCTGTCAGGTGGATGGATTATGTTCGCAAAGGAGAAATGCTCACTAACAGGGATTTAAACAAATTTGTGCACCAAATTTGAGAGAAAAAGCTTTTTGTGCATATGGAAAATCTCTTGGATCTTTTATTTCAGCTCATGAAACATGGAACCAACACTTTACATGTTGCGTTTATATTTTTATTCAGTGTATAATAACCTTGATCTGTTTCACTACAGTATGCATCCTTTAATATTTTATTATGTGGAGGTACAGCAGTAGCATCCTTAGAGGTGCTATATGTTATAAGATAGAATATAGGGTCTTACCCTGCTTTCAGCTGAGAGAGCTTTTCCCTCTCTTTGAAATAAAGAGGGGAATCCATTGAATGGTCACTCGTCATTGATGTTACTGACATACAACTGGAGAGAACAGAATAACCAGAAGAGAAAGACTCTCAGCATCAGCCTGCATGCACATGACAGAGACACATATTATAGTCCTATAACAATACAGAGAGACATGA